ACGTCTGTCCTGTAGCCAACCTCGCCCTGCCTGCTCCTGCCCACCTGCACTCGCTGATCCCGAGCACATCCAGATGGTATCTTTTCATCTCGCTCGCGATCTGTGCTGCAGCTCCTCCCCTGTACATGGTTCTCACATTCCAGTGACCGATGGTGAAAATGTTTTTGGGTGTCACTAGAGATCTTGTCGGGCGTTGGGCTTCCCTAAGGCTTTGACCCATCGCCGTCATAGGGCCAATATTGGCGACCTCTGTTTTACCCTGGTTTACTTGCAATATGCCGTCCGTTGTTTCTGTAACAAGATTGTTTTCTGGGAGTAGGTTGTTAGCCTTCTGCCCAACCCCCAGGCTTGGAGGGCCAGTGGTTTTCTGTCAGGGTTTCCTTCCCTTAGACTGCGTTGGTCCACGTCACCTTACGTGTTCCCTCCATCCGCCACCCGGAGGACGCGCCTCGTACGCCGTGCAGTCCCAGCGCGAGGTACCCGGACATGTCTTACATTTTATTATTGTCAGTTCGACTCGTGTAGTCAATATACTTGCGTATATTGTAGACTAAAATAGTATAACTATTTTAGCTTTCTAAAGTACGGCGCACGGTGCATTTTTTTACCAGCATAGTACGGCACACCGCGCAGGTCATTAAAATGACAAAATAAATTCCCGCGCACCTGGCACATCTTCCTGACCATGGTTTACAAGGTTGCATGCACGTGTTACCCCAAATAACTAATTTTACCCTAAAAACAGTCCGATTGTACAGCAAGTGTCAACTGAACATGTGATAATGCAGTCTGACCGCTCTAATGTGACCGCAAGTCGCAACTACGTAATCGTAAACTTGATGTTTACATTTTTTTGGTGGGAACTCATCGCAACTGATTTCCAGACAAGCTTCACTGCATCCTGATCCATCCAACTTACCGGAAACCTTACTTTTTTTAATAGTTGGCCAAAGCCTGACAAATATGATAAATGCAAGAATTTCAATCTAAATGTGTCGGCAAGATCTTCTGAAGGCGTAAATTTTGCTACTGAAGCGTCACCAAAGATCTTGCAATATTCATCCACTCTCTGCACAGTGGAGCATGATAAGCCATCTCAACCTTAAATTGGCATGATGGTATCCACTATCCATGAGACCATGTCAATGATGTCAGGCTGCTGCAGGAGACAGAAGTCATGACTCATGCAGTCATGCCTATGACTGAAAAATCATAGTATCAAAGCTGAGACTTTTTTAGACTTTTCATCAAGTTCATTTTTGAGTCCTGCACCTATATAAGTAGAATAGCAACGTATCATCATCATGGATTCATCGATATCAGCATTATTATATTTATTCATGATATATTGGTTTAAATCTTAAGTGGATGAGGCAATTAAAAATGAACCGATTCTAAAAAATTAACCCATTAATGCCCAAATTTTTGATTTGTGAAATTTCTGTCTGAACACCTTCATATGGTGTAAATATTTCATATAAAACAGTTTCTGCACAATTTTAGAAGATATAATGAGAGTAGCAGTAGGTAGTTTAAAGAAAAAATCCCAAATGGGGATCATGGGCAAAAGGGTAATAAAAAATACCAATTATTTTTCGTCACCGTTCGTATTATTATTTCCAAATTTATGAAGTGAGTATGTGTTATTAGTGCCTCTTTCTAATGCTAAATGCACATTCCTTTATTTGTCACCACAAAATTAATGAGATTACATAAAGAGGTATTGCTCCTTTGAAACTAAATATAAGAAAGTAATAATTACCCTCAAAATGAGAGTAATTTCACTGATGCCATTCAAGGAAGCTTTCAACGTGTAGCCCAACGAATCACTTGGTACATTTCTTTCGGACATTTATTTTGCAAACGACGCAATTCCGTTGTCTTTCAACATCTGTTCGCTGCAGAACATGCCCTGAATTACTTCTTCCAAAGTCTTCTATCACTCGCTGCTTTGATTCCTTACTGAATGATGGGCTACCTGACTTCTTAGGATCTGACAAAGATGATACTTGCACATATACCCATACTATTCTCCTCTTGAATTCCAGCAAGGGCATTTGTCCATTTGCCTTGTAAAGCAGGAGTGGATTTATGACTGTCATATCAAGAAAGTTTGTGAAAAATGAAAAATTCCATTTCTTTCCACGAACTTTTGTCCTGTATTTATTGATGAGCCAATCCATTTTATTCACACCACACGTGTACTTGTAATTGGCGATGTACTTTAGTTGTTCTAATGAGACCTGGTCCTTCTTCTGCTTGCTCCATCTTTTCACTTTTTCAATCGGCTCTACACCTTGGTGATTTGACATCTTGACATCGTTGTTGTCTTACCATACAACAGCAAAGATGTTATGTCTAATGTCTTAGCTGTAGTCAATAAAGCCCCTTTATTGCTTTTTCAAGGCTTTTACTCTTTGCTCAGATGCAAGAGGTCAGTTGTTGGTATGATTGAGCCACACTGTCCCAGAAGCTGACACATTTTGTTCAGTTAGTAACTTCAATAGATCGAAACTCGTGAAAAAATTGCCAAAAAAGGATACATGATCCGATGGATTACTAGCTTATGCAACTTTGTACAGGATAACTGATACTCCTAGTCCATTGACAGGCGATAAGTCTTCTTTCTTGCCTTCATAAAGATCAAAATCGAAACAATATCCTGTAGTTGAACAGCTCAGCACCCAGTTTTTGAAACTGAACCAAAAATGCTTCTCTCTGATGAACTGCTCCAGGAAATGGTGTCATAATATTGAACCATTTGCTCATCAATGCTCAGATTTTTGGAAAAAGTACCAAACATCAAGAAGAGTTGGTTTATCATTTCAATTACATGTATAAGAGCTATCTTGAACAATTTTTGGCCTGCACGAGTTCTCAATGTTGAATTGTCATTGAGATGATGGTTTTGCTTCAGCTCAAGCTACCGGTTCTGACTGTTCTGGTTCATTTCCAAACCAAAAACATGTGATGAAATGATGTATTTTGCATCATTTCTTCAATTTCCTTTACTAAATGAATGAAAATGTTGCTAACTTATTTACTTTATTAAAAATTTAGGTAATACATCAGTATGTGGTAAAATACATTATCCTTGACTTTACAATATTCTTACTGCCCATGATCCCCAAATGGGGATCGGCATAAAATGCATATTTACTGCAATACTAACAGTATAATTGAGACTAACCTAACCATTTTCAGAAGAAAATAGACTATTCTACCACCTACTATGGTATTATGAATCAGAAATGTTTATAAATGGGAAAAATGTACATGTCAAAAATTGACATCTCTGTCACATCACAATTAAGGTCACTTCTCTCAGAAAATTTCATATATTCGATTTTTCAGACAAAAGGATACAGTTTTAACTGATCTCAATTGATGTCTATAACCTTTATGTATACTTTATTGAAGAAGAACATGTTCCTGATCAATACTTCAGGAATAATATCCACAAAATCAAACGATCCCCAATTGGGGATCATGGGTGCTAATGGGTTAAGAATCTCTCTTCTCTGGTTTGCCACTATGTTTGAAGACTGATCACAAATTACATTTCAATCAATTAATGTTTGACCATTTTCTTATTTTTTAGTGATGAAAAGGAAAATAAGGCTATAGGAAAAGGAAAGGGTGAAATTGGCCAGATTCACAGGTATTTTTATCCTTGTCAATAAAAGTAGGCCTATTCATGATCATTCATGGGTGGCATCTGCCCATTTTCCAGTACCAGCTCTCTTCACAGTCTGCTGTGTCATGTGTGCCTGTGGCAGCTGAGCAGCTCTATCAACAACACACAAGTTAGGGTAAATGCGGTATATTCCGACACTTTAAGGACATAGCAAAAAATGAATGGCTCTAAAAAATACACCGTACAAACACTCTCAAAACACCACACTACGTGCCAGCAACAATGAAACATCACAGAGCCTTTAGAATGCAAACATACCAAATCCATATATTCCGACACGGCGTGTGACTAAATTTTGAATTTTGTGACACTAATTCCGGCCGCGCTACAAACTCTACTAATTTGTAATTCCAACACTCTTGTGTTCGAATTCTGATCGCTGTGTGAGCTGTATTGGAATACGACACAGCTTTGAATTAGAACACTATTGAATATTGAACACTACTTAATTAGGCTTTTAATTAAGAGCTATTAAGCTTTTAATTAAGAAAATTTGTATTTTTGCACACAGCTTGGAACGAGCTGTGTGTGTCTAATTCCAAGCTGTGGTGGAATTAGTTTTTGTGTCTAAACCCATCTCTTAACTTAATCATCGATTAATTTTTTTACCACTTGAAATCAGCAAATACAAGTATACTTAAAGGATTCCTAATATATTCACAGACATATTTAAAAGTCTCAAACCATAATATTCTTTCTACACAAACAGTTTATCACTATTTGGTAGAGCAAAGTCAACTATCAACTTTGATACATTTTTTGATGTTCTCACTGGGTGACGCGCACTGTGTCTCTTTGGATCTCAACATTTTCCCACCAGACAGCCCAGACCTAGTGTTTTGGCAATAGTATGGTGTGCAAAAGTATGACGTCACTATTTCAACCATCAACGAATGCATGGAACTAAGAAAAAGCTAAATATAAAGGAAAAAAGTTGAGAAGTGTCGGAATTACCCATGATGTAGGAATATACTGTGTTTACCCTAGTTAGATCATATATACACCATAAAATGGGGGAATAAGGGATGGGTGGGGTAAATTGGTAGAGTCACTTCATGTTATGTAAAAAATGTTATAGGTAGCAGCTAAACTAATCAACATATTGTAAAACTAAAAATAGTGGTGTAAAATTCAACATTTTTACTATCTATGTAGCATGAAGCCATAAAGTAAGTTAAGAAATGGTACATATACTGCCTCTAAAAATTCCATGAAAAAAAGTGTGAAGTGGTATTTTGAAAAAATACCTCTGCTAAGGTCTTTAGCAAAAAAATTTAACATTTAAAAAATTATACCTACATAAAAGTTGCAAACAGCACACAGGTGTTGGCTTAAAAATGTGATAGGCCGAATTTGCATATCTCATTCAAAAAAAAAAAAAGGTGCAATTTCTGCAAGACGGGATAGTATGGTAAAATGCATTCAAAGTAGAACCTTGATTAGCAAAGGCTTTGGTTAAGAAAAATCTATCAACTACCAAATATTTTTATTACATTTACGTAATTCAGAGAAAAAAAATTTCGATCAACAAAAAATTTATGTCTTAACACTTGCAGCCATCAGTTTTGAAGTGACCTTTATAGCCAAATTAAATTTATTTAGCAAGTATTTATAACAAGAAAGATAAATTGAAGTTTCTCAATGTTAACAGCATTAAAATCCATGTCAAAACATAAATTTTTAAGATTTTTTTAGGCTGAGTTAAGCTCCATTGCTCCTAAGTTCTTGAAACCTGAGCACTTTGTTGAGGCCTTTTACTTTTAAATTTTTAGATAAAGCTGGCGTAGCTTGCTGACCAGGGCTGGAAAAGTCCTACTTTTTCTGAAATATCCCAGCTCTAATATCATAGAATTTCAGTAGGTATGAAATCTCGCAGCTCTAATGTCATGTATTTTTGTTAGATTTAGATTAAAGAATCGCAGTTTGTAACTTTGCAAACGTGTTTCATAAAAATTTAAACTTCTGCAATGATGGTGCAATCCGCATTACTTCAACATTCCTGCCAAAATATCATGCGGAACTTAATAACAATAAGTCAACCCAAACCTCTTCCTTGAAGATCATATAGCTGTGGTCACGTCAGAGTGGTCAGACTGCATTATGTGTTCAGTTGCCACTTAAGTGAAGCCAAATGCCAGTTTCGCTGTTCAACTGTTTTAGGGTAAAATTAGAGATCACCCCTTTTGTCTTTTTAGTATGCATTCAGTTTATTTATTTTTTGCTTAAAAATGTCATAATAGCAGGTTCTTTTACTCAACCTATAGAATTGCAGTGGTATGCATGAAGCTGTGGACATGGTGGAATTCCAGGATGTGGCCAGTCAACAGAGGTGGGGTGCAATTTGAAGCAAGTATGGGGCTGGTAGATGTGGAGGAAATGAGGGCAATTTTGCTGCTGAGGTGCTCTAGTGTAATCAACTCTTTTTCCAGTATGTGCCCTCCAATTTCAGCCAGAGCGCTTCTGAATTCCATAGTTAGATGGTCATTAGGAAGGCATTTAGAATGGTACCATGGCTGCAGACTATTTTAAAGGGCTGAAAACTTTGCTGGTTCTGCAATGGACTAGCCAGCTGTACGGCCCACTTCACAAGCATAAAACCATTGAGTACCTACTCTCAATGAATAAAATGTTGGGTACAGTTAAGCTGGCTTAATATGAAGAGGCAAGGTACATTTGGCAGCTTGGCCATGATGAGTTTCCATTTCTTAGATGGGACCAGTTTACCTGACATATGTGGTAAATGGCAAACCAGCTGTAAGCTTCATAGATTATTGTAGAAACCTCTCCACTGATAGATGAGTAAAAGAATGCAATATCTTATCATGTTGCAAGTTCTCATCTAAGATCCTACCCAATTTGTCTTGATTATTTGTAAACATTTATTGAATAATAATAAGAATTTCCTCAGTAGTGGTTATCAAGAAATATTAAATATCAAAATTTCTGTATCTGAAATGAAAATAAATCTGTTCTACTGTTGACTGCAAGACCAATACCATTTACATATATTGTGAAACACCTAAGCATGCACTTTACCCTCCAGGAACATTCCACAGCACTTCAAGATTCCAGTGGCAATGGAGGAGGCGTTTCCCACATTGCCGGAGTCCTCTGATGCAGGAGTAGTTGAGTTGGGTGCAGATCAGAAGTTATGTCATTTGACAGAAGAATGCAGGCAGATGCAGGCTTTACTGCCGATTTATATATCTGGTAATTACTTCTTAAAAGTATTTTGATTTATTCTAAGTATCTATAAGGCTGACCTAGAAATGTTGCAACTGATGACAGATATTTATGCTTTATGATGAAAATCAAACTTGTGTTTTGATTACTACTTGTTATTTCATTTAGATTCTGGTTTAGTTCAATTTAATATATTGATTCTCACAGGAAAAGCATTTATTACTCCTAGGATCTCTTTACTCTGGCAAGAGGTTAAATAACTGAGGATAAATATTCAAAATTGGAATAATATTTTTACATTATCCAATGTACCTACAGAAAATGGACAGGGTGGGCTGGAAGTCATTTCAATTTCAAATAACTTTTTTTATTATTTTATTTATTTTAACAGATATACCGTACCGGTATGCATGAATAATTTTAGTATCATTGAGTCATGGCAATGGAAATTGATTGTCTATCACAAATTTAATTTTATTGTTATCACTGATTTATAAAATTCATAATTGAGAAAAATGATATCCTGCATATGCCTTCCATTTTCTGCTTCACAAGCAGCTCTTCTGATTATCTCTGCCATAACCTGTTCCAAAGTGTCTGGGCTTATTTCTATACTGATGTTTTCCTCTATCTCCATTGAAGATTGTAGCTTGTTGACATTGAAATGCCTTCAGTAAGCTCTTTGGGTTGGAATTATTGAGCTTTGATTTTATAGTAAAATTTTATGATTTGTGTAAGTTGGATGGTACTGAAGTTCTCCATAAGTAATTTCCAGGATCTGAAAAAAAATAATATATATAAATTTAAAAATATTACAAAATAAAAAGGTTCAGTGAGTTTTGGCCCACCCTGTATAATTTTCCCCCAACATGTTTGCTGTAGCTCAAATCTAATTACATTTGTTGTTTTTGTAGCAGTTGTACACAGTAATATTAGAAGTTATATTAAAAATTTCAGTCAGCATTCTGGAAAACTAATGGAGGTGAAGCTAAAAAGTTCCTGTCCGAGTATAATGCTTGTAATTTATCTTTTATTTGTACAAATTTTTTGGACAGCTGCTTCTCCTGCAATTGAATCAGTACTCAATTTATGTCATTTCCAGAAGCTGTGAAGATTGAGCCTCGTGATGAGCAGCAATCAAGCTGTGACTCGGGGCATCCTTCTGACTTCATTGAAGTGAAGAAAGAGGAACCTTTCTTCATGGAGGAAGATATGGCAAGTTATTTTCTTTACAGAATTTGGTTTTGATTACTTATATTAATTTTCATTAAGAAATTGATTCAGACAATAGACATTTGACATCATGTGACACAGTTCTATGCTAGTTTTTGTTTATCATTCTACACTCTATATATAGCAAGAGTGGTGTTAAACATCTTGCATCATCTATAAGGATAATGATTTTATATTCTGATTTTTCATGAATTAAAAATTTTCACGCCTTATTTCATTGAAGAAGATGTAGATAGTTTGTACATATCTATTATATTATCACTCAATTACAGTACTATTCATAATTGATTTAATTATTCAGTCCAATTCAATTTTGTATCTTTCATTACATTATGATAAAATCCAAATTTAACCATGAATAATATTCTGCAGATTTTATTTTATTCTGGCTGTAGAATATAGTTGCTGTGATTAAAGGTAAGTATTGATCAATAACATATACCCGGTAGACTCACAGTGCAGCAAGAATTCTATACTTTTGATATCTTAAGTCTTTACTTAACAGTGTGTCTATAACATGATAAAGTCTCGACTCTCCAGTATGTCTCTACTGTACTTAACAGTACCTATATGTTAAGTCTTTACTTAACAGTAGTCTATCTTAAGTCTGTACTCTAAAGTACATGTAATTTCTATAATATGGTGAATTTATTCAATAACATTTCTACCTATTGAGCAGGAGGCTTCCACCGTTGCTGCTGACGAATATTTTGGATTTCCTGTCAAGGCAGAGCCTGTCAAGGCAGAGCCTGTCAAGGCAGAGCCTGTCAAGGCAGAGCCTATCAAGGCAGAGCCTGTCAAGGCAGAGCCTGGCAAGGCTGCTGTGGCACCTCCATCCATCCCACAGCCTCCTGCAAACCAAGAACCTTTAACAACAGCAGACGTCTTCACTGCATGTCAAGCAGCGCCGGTTACTGCCTGCTTTGCCTCTACTTCTATGGAGGAGCTAAATTGTGGCGCTTTAATGACTGTTCCTTCTTCAGCAAATTCCACCACTGAAGATAAGAGTCAAACAAATGAAATGCTAACCTCGTCAACTTATCGCCAAGCTAGTGAAGCTCGGCCGCGAAATAATGATCGTCTTCTTCATACTTCTGCAGCTGCGGTAAATTGTGACGTCCTCGGTAATAATGAAACGAAAAATGGCTTGGGTTCTTGTAAGACAGAAGCGTGTCTCAGTTCTGAAGATGTCCATTCATCTAAATATTGTGACTTCAACTTCAATGAATGCCGTGTATTACTGACTCGTATTCATGTGCCAGAAAATTTCACATGTATAATAGAGGAACAAAATGGTGTCGTTAAAATTTCTTCAAAGAAAATGCAATTTTCCGGTCCAGATAATAATCATGGCGAGAATTCAAAACGAACAGAAAGTTGCGGAAAAGACAGCGTTGAAAGTCCTAATATGAAAGCAGAAAATGCTCTGCCTTCTTATAAAAATATCCACGTATATAAAATATCCACATATATAAAAATGTGCCACCAACAGACACGACATAATCGTTCCAAGCTTCCATGTGCATCTCCAAAGGAAGGGATTTCTGTTTCGAATTCTCGCGGTCATCTTGCGAAGAAAAAAAAGACTTTCAAATGTTGTGGCTTTGCTTTTCGCCATAAATCTAATTATGATCAACATGTCAGCGCAGTTCACCTCAAGTTGAGACCTTACAAGTGTCCAAAATGCGACTACGCCGCTGCCTGTGATGGTAATTTGCAAATCCATTTGAATTCAGTGCACGAAAAACTGCGGCAATTCCAGTGCGCTATTTGCGATGTCAAGTTTTCATCCAAATATTCTCTGAAGAATCACATTTCTAGTGCTCACCTGAAATTAAAACCGTATAAATGTCCACACTGTGAATACTCTGCCAGCCAAAAGAAGACTCTGACGCGCCATGTTTCAAGCATACACCTCATGATCAAGCCGCACAAATGTAACTTATGCGACTATTCCGCTAGTATCAAGCTTTACTTAGATACCCATTACGCCAGCGTCCATACAGGAGTCAAACCTTACCAGTGTGCTGACTGCAGCTATGCTGGTGCTTCCAAGTACCTACTCAACGGCCACATAAAAAGGGTCCATCTAAAGGATAAGAAATACAAATGCGATCTCTGTGATTTTGCCACCATATCTAAAGGAAATCTTGCCGTTCACATCGCTTCTGTCCATCAGGAACTCAAGAGCTACAAATGTAATGAATGTGACTACACAGCCGCCACTAAGGGTAGGATCAGCCGTTCACATGAAAATGAAGCCATTCAAATGTGACGATTGCTGCAGAAATTTTTTTGATAAAAGTAGTCTTCACGTTCACATTTCTAGGGTACACCTCAAGGCCAAAACTCACGCGTGCCCACACTGTCCTTATTCTGCATGGTGTAAAGCAGACCTTGATCTGCATGTTGATCGCATTCACTTGAAGCTGAAGCCCCACAAGTGTCCCCAATGTGAGTTCACTAGCAGCTTCAAAGGGAGTATTAAAATTCATCTTGAAACTGTTCATTTAAAATTGCGACATCATAAGTGTCACACATGCAAGCGCCGATTTTCCAAAAAAGAAAATCTTGAAAAACACTTGAAATCGGCACATTTGATTCCAGAAGAGTATAGATGTTCTGAATGTGAATTTTGTACAAGTTACAAGCCAAATCTGAAGATTCACGTGGATTCTGTACATCTGAAACGTTTTAAATGTTCACACTGTGAACACGCTGCAAGTTCCAAGGCAAATCTTAAGCAACATGTCGATGCTTTGCACCTCAACATAAAGAACCGCAAGTGCGGAGACTGCGACTACAGCACAGCGCGGAAGTGTGATCTCATGAAGCACCTCGCCGCTATACATGGAAAATAGATTAGCTTAATATCCCGGGTTTGATTAGGCTTGATTAACACCATACAGCCAGACACATGGGGCCATACTTTCAAAACTGGCTAAGTGAACGTAAGTACTTACGCTCTATTTTCTTGTCTATGATTGGTGGATTTTACTTGAAATGCCGTCAATGATTGGCGGATGAACTTACGATCTCTTAACTTTTTTTGAAAGTATAGGCCCTGGTCATCAAGGATTTATACCGGTCGTGCAATGTACCTGCCATGCCCGGCCCTGTACAGCCGCCATCAATCTCTGATCAAACGATTATTTAAAAAAATTCCATAGATATGCCCCAGTAATGAGTAACTCTTTACCCATTCTATGTTACTATCACCGATAAAGGCAAAAGATATTTTAACATGCATGTGATTGGCATGGCGCGTGATACGGAAGAAACTGAAGTGAGAGCGGTCCGGTACTGGACTTGACATGTGAATGCACCTGGCTGGGACTTACATATGCCGCTCTTGTCCCCGGTAGTATGATGTGAACCAAGCTTTATTGTTGATAAACTGGATTCGTTGTTTACTGATGGTGCAGAACTTCACGTGAGCTGCACCAGCTACTCGTGATGACGTCGACAGATTTTCTAAATGGTCGCACCAACTTTCCTTGAGTGCCGCGCTCATAGCTTTTTTAATTCTGCCTCAAATTGGTAAATGTAATACTTGACTCGTTGTTTGTTTACCGTGGTATTTTATTAATTTTTCAGTCTACACATTATTTGGCGCCTTTCTCTGAGAAGTAAATCGAATTGTATTATTTGAACTATTTGGAAACTCGAATGCATTTCCTGGAGTATATAACTTGTTTCTCGTGTATTATTAGGGCTGTCGAAATTATATGGAATCATTTAATAAACTTCTACTTGAACAAAAATGTTTTGAATGATTCATTATATATCGTGTTGTTCTTGCTTGTTCTTGACATTTGAAAAAATTTGACTTAGATACGAGTGATTGAAATCTTGCGCATACTTTGGTAGAGCTTCATTTAACATCGCAACGAGACTCTGTACTACGGAATGGCACGATAACTAAAGCGTTCCAGATATCGCTCCTGCATGTATGTCATGTGTTGTTAGAAAAAAACATTTGTGATGTGTAACTGCAAAATTTCTTCAATTTATAGCTGCTATCAAATAGCTGAGCTAGCGGTGCGGTTCTGTCATTAATAATATACAAGTTAGAGGCCACGGGATGCATGTTAGGGGCCAGCCTTGACCAATACCATCATCAATTTCATATTTCACTTCGTGTGTAAGCTGGTTGAAGGGCAGAGTAGTCTATGAAGTTATCACTAGAAGCCCGACAGTCGTACGTCACCTTGGAACCCTAAGTTAAGTCAATTTGACCTCGTGCATTAAAAATCGTGAAATAAGTCTTTAGTCTCCGGAACCCCATTGGATGAATTTAATAACGTAATATTTGCTAATATTGCTAAATTTGAGCTACGCAGTTTCTAATTTGAGCGTCGGTAAGCGACTTCCGCGACATGTAAAAAATTTTCATCGGATTTTTGCTAATTTACTTGGAACAATTTTATATCAGGTGCATTCAATTTAGCAACATTTGGTCCCAACGAATGGCTCGACGATATGGTCGTGAATTATTTTCTGTTTTTATAATAAAAAATCCATTCATATACTGAAATTTTTAAAAATCAATTGCTCTCAATTCGCTGTTTTTTACGGCTCCTGAAATTCACGGTCCTGAGAGCGAGACCATGCTTTAGCTCCGCCTCTTAAAGTACGACATTTGGCTCATAACCATCATGAAACATGATGATTGGATGCTCTTGGTTGTCGACTTAACTAAGCGGTTCATCTTGCTGCCAGACAGTTTACAAACCAAGTCTGAGAGTGAGAAGCCCATAAAACAAATGACATTATTTTTAGCTGGATTAAATTAGTCTCATTTCCAACGCATATTCGACATGAACTTGAGGAGAGGCTATAAACCTGATGACTTGCCTCGCCTAACTAATAGTTACGACTGTGGTTTGCACGTCTGCGAATGCGATTACGGTAGAATCATTTGCAGTGGCAGAGGAAATCTACGGTTGGACACTGAGCGATGCGGAAACAGATTTAGAAAAGTTCTGGATAATGCTAATGACCAAGTATTTCACCACGAAGTGAAAAGACCAAAGCGAATAGTGCTTGAGTATTTTAAAGGCAATGGAGTCACGAATTAATGCGTAGACAACCGGAATTTGATCAATGTCTTGAAATATTTGCTTCCTGCATTTAGGACAGTTTATTTGGCACAGGAAAATTGAACGGGTGGATAGCTAGAGGTCAGTATAGCCCAAGTGCACAGTGCGATTCATATACCTTCCCGAGCGTAACGCAGCCAGGCATCTTCACGGCTTTTTACACAAAGCGCCCACCACAACAGCGCAGTTCAGTCACAGGCCGCAGAGCATACAGGCCGGGGCGCAACAGGCCCTACCGCAACAGCTACTCCTAACGTGCGCCGCCTGTTGCGGTAGGGCCTGTTGCGCTCCGGCCAGTTGGGCTCCGGCGCTGTGAAGCAGTGGATGTGTTGTGCAAAGCGGATTTACTGTTAGCCGGAGTTACCCACAGCTCATTGATCTGAGGCTATGTGTAATATTGCATGCTGATGGTTGGCGTTGGGCCCAGGGCCTGTTTACGAGTCAATTTTGTTACCCACGGCTGCGCTCCCGAATGAACGATCTTGCAATGCAGAAGCAAAGCGTGTGGTCGCAGATCAGGAAAAGCGGCTTGCGGTTGTCAGAGTTGAATGCCTTGTTACAAACTTCGCATTCCAGCACCAGACATGCCGTATTTTCATTTAGGTCATCAAAGTACCTACAGACTTGCAGTGACACGCAAAAGTATTGGATGCATTACAGTTTTTTTCACATCTCAAGTTAAGTGCGAGATTTTACCCAATATTCGGTCAGTATATTGCTAATGGTACTAGAAACATTATATAGGGAAGATATTGAAAAGCAAGCATTGTTTAGATTTTATTCAACAAAATAGAAAAATTAACCCACCCAAAAGTATTGGGTACATGTTCATAAATGAGCAAAAATAATTTTTTTTAAAGTACTCAAAATTCGCTTTTCACTTAGAAATTTTTGTATTTTTGAATTTTAAGTTCCGTTCATTAGTACAATATTCAGTTATGTTATTTTCATCCTCACGTATAATTGTTGGCCGTACGATCAGATTACCCGATTTGCATGTTGTGTCCCGGTGACCGCAACAACTTCTTTGCTGCGGGTGGCCAATATGAAAAACTGGTGACTCTGATAAATTAACGTTATTATTGCGTTTTAAATACATTTAATATATAACATTTATAGATGGGCATCATGGGCTTGGAGGCGTCTGACGATGGCGCCGAGACGGCGTCCGCAGGTATATAATTCTATTCGGGCTTGATATTATAATATTATTATGAGAATATAATATTATATACATTTATTCTATTCCTATTCTTCCTATTTGATTCTTTGGATGAAAAAGCAAAGTTACGAAAAAAATTGACCTATCAGTTTTGACTTTTACCGAAATTTCTCAATTTACTATAATTAAAAATCCACTAGTTATATTAGTTATTTTTATATTAGATTTTCCGACGTAATAGTGTTTGAAATAATTAGCAGATAAATTTTGGGTATGAAAGTTTTGTCTTTTGAAATTTTTTAGTATTCTCGATAGTTTTATGCAAATTTTTGTGAAGAAACAGATATGAGAACAGCCATGCATGCAAGCGTTTTATATAAAGCCTTGAATTTTTACAGCCGTCACCGTACTTGGTGTGAAAAGAGACGCTAACACCTCATGTCAAGTCAGCGCGGTATAATAAACTCGATAACATGCTCTAAAATAACACGTTTTGTTCACAGCGAGCAGATCTAGAGATAATAGTGAGCCGCGACCTGATGTGATTTATTTATTGATTGATTCTGTAGACTTGTAACGTCGATGTAAGCTACAGTAATGCGAACCTGAGCTCATAAAATCCAGCGTGCAGTGCGATCAGGAGGGCTCCACACTAACTAGCGTGAAAAAGCATTCATCACAGCTCGTATGAATGAAGCATTCACATGAAGCATTCATCACAGCTCGTATGAAGCATTCATCACAGCTCGAATGAAGCATTCATCACAGCTCGAATGAAGCATTCATCACAGCTCGTATGAAGCATTCATCACGGCTCATATGAAGCATTCATCACAGCTCTAATGAAGCATTCATCACGGCTCATATGAAGCATTCATCACAACTCGATAGTATTACTTATCTCGACAGCCGAGGTCAAAATAAGATAAGAGTTAAATCGATATGTCAAACATTTTTATGTAGTTAATAAGTGGTACACAATAAGCCTGTCTCTTATACACATCTAGATGTGTATAAGAGACAGGTGAAGCACTCATCACAGCTCGCATGAAGCATTCATCACAGCTCGCATCTGTCTCTTATACACATCTAGATGTGTATAAGAGACAGGCATTCATCACAGCTCTAATGAAGCATTCATCACAGCTCGTATGAAGCATTCATCACAGCTCGTATGAAGCATTCATCACAGCTCGTTTGAAGCATTCATCACAGCTCGTTTGAAGCATTCGTCACAGCTAGAATGAAGCATTCATCACAGCTCGTATGAAGCATTCATCACAGCTCGTATGAAGCATTCATCACAGCTCGCATGAAGCATTCATCACAGCTCGTATGAAGCATTCATCACAGCTCACGTGAAGCATTCATCACAGCTCGTTTGAAGCATTCATCACAGCTCGTTTGAAGCATTCGTCACAGCTAGAATGAAGCATTCATCACAGCTCGTATAAAGCATTCATCACAGCTCGTATGAAGCATTCATCACAGCTCGTATAAAGCATTCATCACGGCTCGTATAAAGCATTCATCACAGCTCGTATGAAGCATTCATCACAGCTCTAATGAAGCATTCATCACAGCTCGTATGAAGCATTCATCACAGCTCGCATGAAGCATTCATCACAGCTCGCATGAAGCATTCATCACAGCTCGCATGAAGCATGTTGCAGCTGGAAAAGGTACTTTACAAGCAAAAAATGTATTTAGATTTTTCATTGATGATAGAGATTATTGTAGCATTAATCCCCATTCGCAAAGCTCATGAATACGTCGGACATGCGATGAAAAAGAATTAAAATAGCGTTGACAGACGACGTTAAAATAAATCAACTTTAGAAGACATTGTAATCAGGAAGCGTGAGTCAAAGGAATCTTTTCCATAAAACAAAAGAACGCGAGAGAAGTGAAATGATCAAATTAAATTACATTTTATATGATTAATTGAGAAGTAACTATTCTGTATCAGTAGTTTCAACAACTTGCATATTCGCTTGGGGTATCCAACCTCGTCAATCAGTTTTTAAACGAAGCAAATAATTCTACTTCAATTATTCACCCGAGGCTCATACTTCTGTAGAAAAGATCACAGTGTGCGAAAAATATCACAGCTAAATGCAACAGTTATAAAAGGTCGGGTTCCAAAGGCCGGATCCCTTGTGAATCAAGTCGCGAAAAGTACATGAATCGGCAACGGGCCATGGGCCTATTTCCTCAGTGCCGACACTTCTATTCTCTCTCAGAAAAGTCGTCTAAGTCACTTGTGTTGTTCGGAAAGGCGATAAGATGACGAAGCTTGTGGTACATTTTGGTACATGTGTGTTTACTTTACCTGTGTAAACTTTTGTCTGTACTAATTCATGACTTCGTCTTTCTTCCTAAAGTAACAACGTCTCGCTTGCAAATATACGCAGAGGGATTGTTGGAAATATTGGCGTCTGAACATGATAACTGCGTTCTTCTTTAGGCCTGTCTCCCGCTTTAGAATAGTGTAGAATTAAAAAAAAAATTTTAATGGTTATTTGGGAATATCCATTACCTGTAACCTTCTCTTGTTTTTCATTTTTTTCGAATCCTTCGAACGTGGGACTACGCATACTATTTAATCTATGTATTCCGTGATTAGCGTGCCAGCATCTATGTGTAAACGATTATGAATTAGGAAAAATTAGAGCAAATTTGTAATTAAATGTGCGTTTATGGAGCCGTAATCAGCTGCCAAGATTACGATGATCGATGAAGCCTCGAGCCCCACACCTCCACAATAAACTAGCTGTGTACATGAAAAATTTTACCAACTGTTCATACTGGATGAATAACATAATATTTTCTTTCTCATATCAGTATCTTTTCTGTGTTTCATTGGAAGTAAATAGCAAAGATTTCGAAAGGATTATTCTTGAAGTTCCTAATCTTTTCTGCGACTTATCATTGGCTCATCAATCACTCCTAGTGTGTGGTTGACACAATAACGTGGAATTTTCTGGTCGAAGCATTTAGTTAAGTAAAAGTTCAATGAGTGTTATTTAAATTCTGGCCAGGCTTTGGCCACATACATCAGCCATATTGCAATAAACGTGAAGAAAGTGAAAAGATTAATTATTGATTAAATAATAATATTATTAATTAATTAATTACAAGCAACTACGAGAGTCGTTTATAAGGAGTAAAATAAAGGGGTAAGAATTAATGATTTGCACAGAAATTGGAATGAAAATCTTTAGAATGTTTTTAGTCGGAAAATTATTTTTGAGCATCGTTGCAGCGATGCAAAGCAAGGCATCAATTAAACGACGCACTAACGACACTGCCGTACACAAAGCTCAGCTTTCGTTATATAGGTATACGGTATACCTATATACGTATTTATACATACGTGTCCGGGGGACCTTGCGTGCTTTTAGTGGAAGGGGACGAATTTGTACTTATTTATTTCTCAAGCAATGTTGATAAGGATGTATGTCTTAGATATTTTTATTTACTGCATTTGTATTTCAGATCCCATTACTGACTTAGTTTCTCATGATGCCTGTGCACATTTACTTTCATTATGAGCGTTAGTTACGATAAAATTGGTTTTGGTGACCGCAGGCTCTCAAAATGGCTTCTACGAGCAACAGCATTTATTTCAAAATTTACTACACTTGTATTGGTGGTCCGGTATGAATATTTTGAGTCATTCGCATGCATTGTTCTGGTATCAGGTCAGTTCCGGATGAGATTTTCATCGAATGTCCATTTGTAATTCTCCTCTTTGCACAGGTCTGTGTTGATATGTTAAAAATTAAGCTTCTGCTTAATCTCTTCTTAAAAAACTGCGAGCTCCGACAAGCCATTAGAGTTACTAAGATTCTAGTTGTTCAGATGAGAGAGGACTCTTTTAGCGCATTTTCTCATTTATGAAAAAATGCACTATTGTGCTCGCCATGTCCGTCTGTCCGTCCGTCTGTCCGTCTGTCTGTCCGTCCGTGACTTCACGTTTTCGTCGACGAGAAAATCCGCTCTCTGTAACTCACTGCAGTGAGTACTGAGTTATATTTTTTTATCGCTGTATTCTCTTTTAATTGGACATCACGAGGGGAACATGTGCATAACGGAATATTTTGATTTCGTCCAAATAAATTCTTGTAGATGAGCTAATTTTTCTAGAGTAAGAAATTTCAGTCAATTGCAGTAGCGAACTCTATTGCCAACCTAAAATAAAGAAAGGACTTTATGACGATTGCAATGTGGAATCAGGAAGTTATTACAAGATTTTGGTAGAAGGTAAACCGAGCCTCCATCAGCTATAGATACACATCCTGAGGCCGATGAAAATAATTTGTGTAGCTTGGATGACTGTTTGCCAAATTTTTTTAAACTCTTACTTTCATTAAAAGCGTGAAATTACATTTCTAATTATTTTCTAAACAGCTGTTAGAAAATTTTCCATGTTTCAAAACCCGTCGATTCGATGCGAGTCTCCTCATCATCAACTATTTTTAGAACATTTTCAATTTTATATGCCTCTGGAGCCGAGGTCAGGTAGTTAATAAGATCTTTTTATGCCATATTGTTTTAATATCTATTTTGTATACATTGAACATTCTATTTTTGAAGCATATTACTCTATAGTAAATCTTGTTAAGTTATCCACTATCATAGAGTGTAATAAAAAGAAGTTTTAGTGTGCCATGAGTAGTAAAAAGTTCAGAGTGTCATGAGTAGAAAAAGTTTGGTGTGACACGAAGATATAATGAATTTGTTTGGAGTTTTCCTTACTTCGAAATTCAGGATGAGCTTACGATTACGAATGATATAAGTACTTGTTTTTATTTTTATAGAAGCACTCTTCATGATTGACATTGCCAGGGCTCATAGTTCTAGCTGTGTTCAGCATGAATAACTGCAAGTATCAAGTGTAACTAGTAACTCTAAAAACTTCTGCGTCTGGTCAACTTTTTGCAGCACTCATATCAATTTCAAGTTTTGCATTTTTCCACTCGATGGTTTCAACAATTGTTGTGTTTTATTATTTAAGTGATTACAAAGAGTAAAATGAATCTTAATTATCCGCGATTCAGTTAACTTTTCAATGCCATTTCAAGATTTCAAACCATGCATACTTTATATTTAATTTCCTAAGAAGGCAATAAATTCACGGAATTACAGGTTTATGCAGCTCAGTAAACGTGTACCGTTATCTTCTTTATCATCATTTGTTATCTAAAGACAACTTTAAGCTAACTTCTTATAAATACAGGGGCATGATAATGCGTGCTTGTGTCTAGTGCGGTGTCAACATGGTAACTTCTAGTCTTTTTGCCGTTAATGTAATTCATACATGCAGGAAACTGTGATGAATGATTAATACGTATTGCGAAACTGTGATGAATGATTCGTACGTGTTGCGAAACTGTGATGAATGATTCGTACGTGTTGCGAAACAGTGATGAATGAGTCGTACGTGTTGCGAAACTGTGATGAATGAATGTGGCCAATGATTCGTACGTGTTGCGAAACTGTGGCCAATGACTCGTACGTGTTGCGAAACTGTGGCCAATGACTCGTACGTGTTGCGAAACTGCGGCCAATGACTCGTACGTGTTGCGAAACTGTGATGAATGATTCGTACGTATTGCGAAACTGTGGCCAATGATTCGTACGTATTGCGAAACTGTGGCCAATGACTCGTACGTGTTGCGAAACTGCGGCCAATGACTCGTACGTGTTGCGAAACTGTGTTGAATGATTCGTACGTATTGCGAAACTGTGGCCAATGATTCGTACGTATTGCGAAACTGTGGCCAATGACTCGTACGTGTTGCGAAACTGCGATGAATGATTCATACGTGTTGCGAAATTAAGCTGTGATGAATGATTCATTCGTGTGTGAAACTGTGGTGAATTATTCATGCGTGTTGTGAAATTAAACTGTGATGAATTATTCATAATTATTGCGAAATTAAACTGTGATGAATTATTCATACGTGTTGCGAAACTGTGATAAAAAATTATAGGAGCAGGGAAACGTTGGTGAGTGATTCGTTCGAGTAATGAAGCTGTGATGAGTGTTTCATTTGACCTGTACAATTTACATATAACTTTTGTTGTTTAAAGCTTAATGTCACTAAATGCTTTCTGATATGAGTTTTTGGGGCAGTGCCTACATCAACATCAAGTTAGATAATTATTCAATCAAAATGATTTTAGAGACTTAAACCAAACATGACATATAGAACCATTAAATCTTTCCTTCCCCGATACCTGGCAATGAATGTATATTCGGCAAAATAACTATGGGACCTCATATTGCGCAGGCTTGAGAGCATCTGTGTTCAGTAATTATCATCGTGGATTTCATCATATTTTAAATATCAAAATCAAATTATACCTATTAAATATTAGCTGAGTTTTTTTTATGTATTTGTCGAATTGAGTGTGATCTCCAGATAGGTCTTGCAACATGGCGACCCCATCCCCAAGTGCCAGCCCGAGGTCATCAGCGTCAACAGGCGGTTGGTCTAAAAAGAATATGTACTACAAAACTGTCGGAGACTTGTACTTGAACCCTAAATGCCTGCGAACGATAATACAAAAAGAGTGTGCAACCAAAAAAAGCGACGAGACCTACCGAAAATACATTGAACGTTTGAGAGGCAGTCCGTTCAGTGAAGAAGATTGGAAGAACTCATGTGGGATATCGTCAAAGATTCTAGAAACTGAAGTAAATGCTGACCACCTAGACGTGACTCATCTCATATGTCTGCTCGAGAACATTTTTCCATGGAACATTTCCAAGGAAGTTCACAAAGATGACGTGGACGATCCTGTGTCAAAAAGAATAGTCCAGAAATTTAGTGGCGTGAAAGACTTGCGAAACGAATTCTTTGACTGCAAGACTGCTGCTGAGGATTCGCTCAAGCTCGAAATTAGAACTGCGCTCTCAGAGACGATGGCAGATGTAGAAAAGTTCTATTCGTCACGCATGGCCAATGATGATGGTGGAGGATCGGGGCAGAATGATGCAAGAGAAAATATTTTCCTGGACAAGCAATGCATTGAAGACAGCTATTCGATGTTGGCTTCGAGTTCGAGCGATAAGCAATTAAAACAGGACATTAAGAAGCGCGTGGAAAAAGTAATACTAAAAGAAGAACTTACATCAGAAAACGATAAGGTGAAACGTGGTGCCGTATTTCACCAGCTTGAACTGACAATAAACAAGGGCAGCTGCAATGAAGTTCACGAATACACTGAAATTCTAAAGAATTCTGAGAAGTTCGTAGTGGTTGAGGGCGTCGCTGGTTCTGGTAAATCGACTCTCCTTACAAACATCATACTACAATTTTTCGAGCTGCAGCCCATTTTGGTTGAGACCTTGGAACAATTCGATCATGTCATCTTGTTCGAGTGCAGGGAGCGCACCGTAAAAACCCTGAGTGATGTCGTCGAGCAACTTTTCGGAGATCTGTGCAGCAAGCAAGGGAAAGAAAACGTTCTTGAGGCCATCCTACGTCTCAATGTCTTATTTGTCATCGATAGTTTCGATGACGTGAACACAGATTCATACAGAATAGTAAAAGAGATCATTGCAAGAACGTGGCGCAGTGGATGTCGAGTTTTGATCACAACTCGACCTCATTGCATGAACAGGCTGAAGGATCTTTTGTCAATAAACGACGTCAGTTTCAGTCAGTATGGGATCAATCCAATCAGTAAGCTTGATGACCAACTTAAATTTTTGGAGAAGTATGAAAGGTTCCTGAATGAAGATAACCATTCGAGAGGGGTGACCGAAAGCTTCAAATCGCTGGAATCAGAACTACAAAGTTTCTTCACCGAACCCGTAAACTTGATGCTTTTCCGCCACCTTCACAAGCACTTTCCGAAAAAGATGGTCTCATGGCCTAAATCTATGGGCGTGGCATTCGACATTTTCCGCTTGTACAGAAAAATTGCCGTGTCGAAACTATCGACTCCTAATTTCTCCGAGAGAGAAAACTTGGTCGACGATTTGTTTAATATCATTGGCAGAGCAGCATTGGAATTGCTCCACGACAACTACGTGACGTTCTCAGAAGACAAGTACAAAGAAATCAAAGAAGAGTGCAAGATTAAAGGTGACAGTGAAGATGCAGAGAAAATTATCTTAGAAGTTGTTCTAAAAAAACATCTACCACTCTCTGAAAAAGGGCCCCAGTACTTCGAGTTCCGGCACAAGATTATCCAAGAAACTTTTGCTGCTCACTATATCGTAGAACGCATTTTCGCTATCAAAGACAGCGAAAAATCCCCCATCAACAGCATCTTGGATGAAACGTCAAAGAAAACATGTCGGTAAGTTCATAAACAAAATTTTTGCCCATATTCAATGGAAAGACCAGAAAGATCTCCTGAACGGGTCACACCTGCGATGCTTGCTTTCGACTGAACGTATCACGTACATGAAAAGTCTAGTTTAATCAGACTTCAGCGGACTTCGTTCATTTATCCACCGCTAAAGCTTGATGTTTTGGCACAATCAATGTTGAATGAGGAATTCGCATGAAAAATTACGCCTGAATGGTAAAAAAATTATTTTACTGCATATTGGACTGTACTGTTTAAAAGACACGCTGCCCTATAAAATGTTGGTATAATATAGAGTGCGAAAATTATAAATGGTTTGTATCGAGAATTTCTTTGGCTGCGAAGTAAGGAGTTTCCCAGATACTTGTTTAGATTGGTGTAAGAGATAAATCTAATAGACAGACATTGAGATTTTCCTGCAATTAACAAATGGTTTTGTTACATTAATTTTTCAAAATTATTAAATAGTTTTTGTTTGTGTTGGATTAATTTCGTCTTCGGCGGTGCTTCCCGATAAATTTCATGAGAGGAGACATCGGCCATAATTGCCTGGTTTCATTTCTTCATAATTTTTTACAAGTTATTCTTCGTTTAAAAAAGCATTTCTTCGTTAAAAATGCATTTGCCAATAAAAACATACCTGCCGAAACGGATACTGAAAATTTTATGCTTTAATCTCGCAGGGATGGCGGCAACCCGCTCGCGGATGCGTCGCACGGCAGCCGTACGTCTCCCACGCACCGATATCCACGGCAGCCGTAAGTCATCACACACACAGTAGACAGTTAAATGCATTGCAATGATGATTGAATGTGAGAAAACTTTAATTTTTTATTTGCGTAGAGCATTTCTGCGGCAAAGGTTATTCGGCATCAAGGAACTGCGCAAATTCAATCCCGGTTTGTCCTTCAGAATAACCAACGAAGACTAGCTGCGTAGATGATTCTGAAAATGTTTTGCGGTTGGACTATGAAATTAAAACACTTGGTTTCACAACTGAATGGCACCATGAAGAAATGCTTTTGCACGGTAAAAATATTTTGAAGCGACAATTTCTATCGCCTACAGCAAGGATTTTACTCTTTGTGTTGTTGACTTACTGATAAGAACCCAGTAACGTACCAAGCAATAAAAAGTACATCAGCCCATATGAGTAAATGTTTAAATAGTACAAATCCACTCAGAAACATTTAGTTGAATTGTTGATTCAGTTGCTGTTTTGAATGATTTAGTTTATTTCACTCAATTTAAACGGAAAAATCTAAGAAAACTTTCAAATTGAGTGGATATACAATTTACATTTAGTTGAAAATAACAGCGCATATGACATAAGTTAGGAACTTCTTGACACGAACCACAAGCAATAGAACTATTTTTAAAGTCTCACAATTTATATTCGGGTTTTCATTTCCTGCAGGCTGCGTGAGACGCTGCAGTATGTGGTGCAGGAGCTCAGCAGGCGCAGTCCCCGCAGATTCCAGCGGCACTGGCCGGAGCTGGAGAGGACGCTGCAGGATACTGGGATCGTGGCCGCCAGTGATTGGCTGGACTGTCTGCGGGTGTGCGCTGACGTCAAGCTGGTGGCCGAGATAGCTGCTGATGAAATGCTTAAAGAGGACAAAGACGTTTGGTTTGTCACCAATGGTGGGTTTCGTTGGGTTCAACTGATCCTGCAGAATTAAACAATTTAATCAATTTTATTTGGTGGTGAGAGTAGGGGTTTGTTATAAAATCGGCCTTCTCACTGAGAAGTGCAAAAATCGCTCATTCGAAAACGAGCCATGCATGATGACACTATATTAAGTGCAACGAGGTAAACATTTAAATTAGTGCCGAAAATTAGTACTGAATTCATTTCTATACTTGTCCACATACTGATATATTTGAATGACTCTATATAGATCCACACAGATTCAAACACAGCGTTCGCCACGTAGTCGACGTTATTCCGTTCAAAGATGAGTATTGATTTCTGACACGGTCAACTTCTGCAGTTAATTGCTATAAGGAGCTAAAAGTTACGCAAAATATACGAAAAGAGTTCTGATACAAAACATATAAATCATTATCCAAACTAAGTAACGCGGCAGACTAATACAATCAGCGCAAAAGAGCGGAGCGGTCTTTGGCCGCGTCGATTATGTTGAGCACCTATATCGGTATCTTACGAGGTTCTAAGGTTTATTGATGTGCAATCCATACACGTTTTACAACTACTCCATCGATCGGAGTAGTTGTAACTCCATACTCCATAGTCCATACATTGTTGCGGCTTCTCCATTCTTCGATTAAATTAAATTAACTCGAATTTTCTAGCTCCGCCTTATCCTGCAATGATATATGTGTCAAAATTGTGAAGATGAGAAAAATGTTAACGTCACTTAGCAGAGCCTGGCCTGAACAGTGTGTGCAGTGATGGATGCAACTCATTTAAAAAATGTTTATCACTTGTTAATTTTTTAGTTGCTTCTCGGAGCACAAAGTTCTTATATTAAGCGCGACGTTCACTGTTGCAGGTCGCGAGGTTGCTACAGTTGCAGCAATGTTGCGGTATGTTCAGGTCACGCGCATTGAAGTGAACATGAGGAGTGATGACCTGGACCTGACACGGTGGAAGAAGCTTGTGGGACGGCGTGTGGGGGAACTCCTTCTTGTTCTGAGTGAAGATAAAGGCGACGAATACAAAGCCCGTGATGACCTCCTGCAGCCGCTGAAAGAAAGCAAGTAGGTAGCCAATGAAAAGAATTTAGTGTCGTAAACTGTCAGAATCATTGTTGAACAAGTATAAGATTGACCCAAGAGAAGCTAATTTTGCGGATGTAGTTTATTGTTCGCCTGTGAAGTCACTGATCTCAGTGACGTCACGGGCATTAACCAATCACCGAAATGCGATCAAACCAGTCAACCAATCCGTCATGGAAATGATCTCAGTGACGTCACGGGCATTAACCAATCACCGAAATGCGATCAAACCAGTCAACCAATCCGTCATGGGAATGAAAAGATTTTTTACGTTTCTCGATCGCAGTGACATAACAAGAAAGCGGAACTGAAAGACGGATGTTCTCGTGGGTCAACTTTATATAGTTCAACCATGGTCAGAATGGCTTGTATAGCTACTTAGATTCATTCACTTAAATGATTTTCTGTAACTTCATTCGTAAACTTATTAGCTGTCGGCCCTTTTCTTTTATTTTTCGGGTATTTGTTAGTGATCGGGCAGCGTTAATATCGAATTCGCATCCCTCATGCAGGAGCCATAACGAATAAAATCATTCATGATTTGTATAATACTCGTACATCAGAGTTACATTGCTCAAGACATTGGGCATCAAAAAGTGGTGGAATCGAATAAACCCAGAGACAATCTCCCAATTTCTATGACTAACTACGACTTTTGTCAAGTGGTCGGTAACGTCAAATCGACGCAACCGACCACTGGCCATTCCTCGGCCAGTGGTCGGTCACCTAAAAGCCTCCCATTGCTCATAGTCTGCGCAGTATCAGAGATCTGGCTAGTGAGGGGCGAGGAATAATACGTGGCCAGTTGTCGGCCAGGGCCAATTACTTCTAGCCGATCGCTGGTCATTTCTCGGCCACCTGAAAGCCGCCCGTTACCATAAGAAAGGGGCTGGGCCTATACTTTAAAAAAAGTTAAGAGATCGTAAGTTCATCAGCCAATCATTGACGGCCTTTCAAGCAAAATCCACCAATCATAGACAAGAAAATAGAGCGTAAGTACATACGTTAACTTAGCCAGTTTTGAAAGTATGGCCCCGGGCTAGGATATCTTATTACGAAGACTACAAACTTGACGGTAGCGACTGGCCAAGTTTTGGACCGATCGAGGATTTAACACGATGGTCATGAATACATCGCTCACAGATTTCGCCGCACTCAGACTAGCAGCCTTGATGGTTCGACATGTGCCAGCTCCTTAATTAACTTAGCAAGATTTAAAATCAGAGACGAAGTCTCAGTCTCAAATAATAATTGTGTTAAAGTTTGACAGCAAACAACACTTATCGTTTTATAACCATAGCAATAAAAATGGAGATGGTTTAACTGGCACGTGAATGTCGATCGGTCAGCTGAAGCAAAGGATGATTTAAGATAAATGGCACTGCCTCTCGTCTTGTACATCTAAACTGCCTTTGACAGAAAATCCCAGACAATGGGAAAATCGTCTTTAATTAGCATTTATTTGAAAAAGAATTATATCGATATACGAGATTTTCATTTCATAACGAGACGTGTAATAAGACATCCATTTCACGGTTAAGTAATCCAATCATATCTGACTGACCAGGTTACCATGTATTTTTATTGCTGAATATAAATATAATTTATTGATGAATATAGTCTACCATGAAACTAACTTTTTGTTTAATTATGTTGATTTTTCATGAGTCAACATTTGTTGTGTGTTAAAAATTTCACATGTACGTAAGACGCAATTATTTATTTACAAATTTTATGCTTACTTATTTGATGTGGATTTGCCTGGAATTCATTCGAATAACGCTCTTCAAGAATTCTAGTGAGCCATGATTACTAACATGTTCATCATTCATCAGGAGGAAAATCAGGTTAGCTAGAGTCACTGATCTCTACATACCAAAAATTATATTGGTTAAATCATAGGAATTCCAAGTCCACAATATTTCTTATACACGATTCGGTTATCACGTCAACTTCCTAATAGGTGTCTTATGAATCTAGTCTCATCAATAACAGATCTTGCATACCACTATTTTTATTTTGCATTGTCATTTACTGAAATTCTAGGTGAAACGTTGTTGCACTCCTCATCAGTCATCATTGCTCGAGCCTCGAATGCAGGTTCATTTCTCGGTCACTTCCTACATTATCACATCGTCGTGTGTAAGCGCTGTATCATTTCTCCAATGACTTCAAATTATATTTTTAATAAAAATGCTGTTAGTGATAGCACATTACCTACGCGATATTTCAGAGTCAAGATAGTTCACTTCGACGGATGCGTGGGCCACCCCGACAGCGTGACCGCCCTCGCCTCGAAAGCTCACGAGGCTGAAGTCAACATCCGCATGGCTGTCCCCCTGGACCTCTCAGAGCTCAGAGGGAAATATAAAAAACTCAGTGAGTGTTGTGGAACTATACGTAAATAGGGTGGTAGTGTTATTGGTTACGTTGTCCCTATAGAGTCAAGGTCACAGCTGGCCATTGCTGGTCAAAGGGAAATAGCATAACATAACATAACATAGTGATATCGGCGCTGAAGTGTAGGCCTGATGTGGCCTGTCGCCGATTCTTTTCCTTTTCGTGCCTTGTTCATAGATCTAAACTCATGTCATTTGACCGGATCTTTTCATGACTGGCGATAGTTTGAAGTAGCTACTAGACTTCCACCGAGTTCGATAAGGAGCTAGGCATTTCAAATCTGAATTAAACCGCAGCTGCCACGTATCAGCCCAGTTAACTAAGCTGTCAAGATCATCTTGTAATTGCGCTTTATTTGACGCATTCTTCACTGTATTATTTGACATCTACTTTTATTTTTTTTAGCTTTACGCTCAGTTATTTTTTTTTAATTTTTTCATGTGAAGTAAAGGTGGTATAAATGAAACAATTATCTTCGGTTTAAAATATTTTCATAGGCGCTTAAATTTCTTGTCCTACAATAAACCAACAATTAGCAGACATACTATCAATGTTAGTACCTGAAAAATGATGTTCGAAAAAAACAACATAACTGCACAGTAAACAATTTATTACAAAAATATTTTGAACTTCTTCGGTCGTATTGAACTTTTTCATAAAATTTAGTTTATGCGGAATGAAATCGACGCGGTTAAATTTTTAGCGCATTTTCTCATTTATGAAAAAAATGCACTATTGTGCTCGCCATGTCCGTCTGTCTGTCCGTCCGTGACGTTATGTTTTCGTCGACGAGAAAATGCGCTCTCTGTCACTCACTGCAGTGAGTACTGAATTATATATTTTTTAATTTGTCGACTCGCATAGATGTGCGCACCCGCAAGCTCCCAACCGACGCTTGTCCACTGCCGCTGCCAGACGCGCCTGCGCCGTCGCTGCAGGTGGATGGCGTCGATGAGAAGTTCAGGACGGCCGTCGTCCACACCATCACATTACTCGCACCACAAAACAAAAGGTTTGAGATACAATGGACCAATATTGTAAAAGATTAAAATAAAAGAAGATACAATTACCCATTATTGTAAAAGATTCAAGATTAAAATAAAAGAAGATACAATTACCCATTATTGTAAAAGATTCGAGATTAAAATAAAAGATTCAAATCATGAACCGTCTTTGGACGAGGGAGGGTCTTGATAATTATTTTTCTCGTTTTTTATGTTTAACTTAAAAAAACTGTGTTTTTTCTCGCTAAACAGAGAACATTTGAGTAACTATAAATAAGTTTTAATAAAAAATACTGTAAGTTTGTGAATATCCTTTCTTTAACATTCTCGCATTAATTTTAACATTCTCGCATTAATTTTAACATTCTCGCATTTCTTTAATTCTCGCTAGCTAATCTGTGCCTGATGTTTTTGAGTTTATATATTGTAGATTGGATGTTTGAGCATAATCTTCGGAGTGTGGATCTTCATCTAAAATTTGCCTTTATTGTCTGTTGAGATGAACAGAAATTTAAGTCTAGCTGAATCATCGTGAAAATAAGGCGAAAAATGTTTGTTTCTTGTGCCTGTACGGGAACTTTTGAGTCTGAGCGAAGTCTCTGTGCATGGTGGCCCATGCAGTGGTTACAGTTCAGAGTACCAAGATTGGCGCAGAGAGGCGCGGGTTCGATCCCAGCTCTGTGCGCCAGTTTCTGGTCAGAATCGGCGAGGAGGCCGGGCGGTTAAGCAGAGCAGAATTGTAGCAGTGAGTTGCGCGTTCGAGACCGCAAAATGCTGTGAATGTTCTGCGATGTTAAGAATCGGCGACAGGCCCTTGGCCTAATAAACGCTGAAACCGCTATTATTATATATGATTAGCGTAACTGAAGGTATTGATATCGAAATTTGTGTGCCAGGTTCGCAACGCTGAAGCTACAGAGCAAGACAAAGCTCTCTGAATCAGAATTGCAATCAACCCTACGAGACCTGCATGCACATGGTATCAGGACGATGGAAGGTGACCGCACTCGCATCGAAATTTTGAAGTGAGTGAACGATGATGAATGCATCTCTTACCGTTCTCTAGCTCCTGGAATTAGTTTCTCAATCAGTATGCAAAAATTGTGATTTTGTATTATTATTATTTATGTTGTATCTCTTCGGTTCTCACATTAAGCCACGGTTTCATTCATGTGAATTCAAAAAAGTCATTGTTCAAACTTCTTATCTTCACCTTATAACCGACTTGGGGAGTACAAGCGTCCATAACGGTAAAAAATATCGCCATTGCATGTTAATGAGGTGCAGTAGGTAATGGTAATTGTGATAATGAACAAGAGAACCGAAATTAGAGCAAAAAGATGTTATAAAAAGTACACGAAAAGTACAAGAATCGGTAACAGGCCATGGGCCTATTTCTTCAGTGCCGACATTTTCTATTCTATTCTACATATTGTTTTACCCACGTTACTATGAAAGAGCTCTGCAGGGGTAACGTATATAACAGCAAAATTTTCATCCTTCGATTACTTTTCAAATACAATAAGTAAATTATAATTGTTACATCATATACGTCATCTGTCGCTTCAAAAACACTTTGTAACAAGGTTAAAATATATTTCTATACATCATATGTAAATTGGTCACAGATGAGGGTTTAATAGCTTAAATTGTTACTATAACTTGGGCTAAAAAGAAAGAGTTTACTTTTAATATAGAGTTACATATCGGTAACATACAAGTTTTTTGTTGAATAAGGTTTAATGAGTTCTCTGTTGATTGGCATTACTTCAGTCTGACATCAGCAGAATTATTAGGAATTATAATTAGAATTATTTAATTAATTTAATTGATATGTATATTAACGAGATTTTCCATACACGTATTCACAATACTTGTTTCATATATCGGGACATAACAGAGATGTTACATTTCCATTTGATCAACATTGGTGAAAAAATTTGTAGGTTGAAGGGCGACAAATTTATTCCAAACAGTTCAAAATTTCCTATAAATATATTAATAAAATAATCGAGAACCAAACGAACCATGCCATCCCGAGCTAACCGGCCGGGTTGTGGTGACTTACGCGCTAGATATAATTTTGTATTGTAAATAAATTAAAAGAGTTCTAGTTCAAAAATTTTCAGAAATACTATTCCAGATTATCATTATTTAATGTTGTTAATACTCGTATCTCATTGGTTGTAATGTAATACGAAGACACGAGTAAATAAAACATTATGGTATCCCTGACACTGGCCATCTTATATAAGGTGCCTCGGTGCGATGGGTTCATCGTTTAACTATAGCCGTAAATATTGAAAGTCTTAGTAAATATCGAGATACGTTATTAACTGAACTGCTGATTGCTGAAGTTTAACTCCGTCTCATTCCGACAGGCGAAGTGGACTCATCAATATCTACATCCGCGAGGCACTACCTGAGAAAGTAGAAGTGATTAAGGTTGCAGAATAACAAGACTAAGTTAATGATTGTTTTATCACGTTCATGTTGAACATCGTAAATAGTCAATCTACCAAGTCTAAAAATATTTTTGACAAAAGCATTGGAATAAAAGAGTGGAAGATATCTAACGGCTTGTTGACATGCACTTGATTGAATCGCACTTGACATTTCAATTGATTGTAGTAACTCTAGACTCTAGAGAGACGTTCAAACCGATTGACGTTTCAATTGACGTCGCTGTTTCATAATATTGCCGTTTCACTTGATTGATGTATCGGTAATTGAAGTTTTGTATGATTCTAGTGTTTAGTGTTTCTTCACATATGTTTCGGCTTGCTTTCTCTCCCAACATTCAAATTACCTCATCTTTCTGTAATTTCTGAAGATTAATTAAATGATCAATTAATTACTGATCAACACGGGTTGCGAAAGCCAAATTTACTCTACAATGAAAAGTTTGAGAGACGAAATATGAATGGTGATTTAATTGTCATTTTCTCCAACGACGTCGCTGTCACCCTGGACAAATGGTGCGATGCCGCGAAGCGTGACTTCAATTAGAATATCAGTACAGTATTAGTCGAAGAAGTCCTAAAGCAACAACTCTTATTAGCATGAAGTCTAAGCCTAATCTTGCTACTTTAACTCACAAAACATCTGGTTGCACATCAATAGCTGTACAGATAATTGGAAGAAGTTCTCGGAACATATCGTGGTACGTGTCATTATACCCCGAGTATGGAATTTCTTCAGACGCAAATTCCATGCCTCCGGCCACATAGACAAACAGTTCTACTGCATTACATACCCCCCCCCCCGGAAAATGAGAGTGACTGGAAATAGTCACAGAAATTTGTAGGGTTAATAGTGATTTATGTCCGCGATCTTTAAATTCGTGGGACTAGAGTCTGCATGGTTAACAGAGTTCATCGATGCGACGTATTTAACATAAAGATGTAGGGTTAGTGGGTTACAATGTTTAGAGAGGGTCGACCCATGACCATCACGGAGTCTGCTCCAGCCAAGGCGATGCTTGATTCTCATGTTTATTGTTTGCGCTCCTGTGGAAGTTCTTGCTTATGTCATCATTTTCTACCATCAACAATTGCGCCGCATATAGCAAAGAACTATGTCACTGTCAGTACTCGGTGCTACACTTGGTACCTCACCGGTACCACACGTACATGTACAAATACCATCGATCAGGTAACATGTGACCAAGTCTATATTTATCTAGATATACGGTCGATAAAGTTTGATTATATTGAAGTTTCACAATATTATCGTTCTGCTTGTAAGTTGTATCTTGTGTTCCTCTTGATCGATCGAAGTTTCTCTAGATTGAAGCTTCACCTGGGAGCTGCAAAGCATGAATGTCGATTGACTCACGCGACTCATTATTCTCTTATTTCTTGGACGATAATTATACTCAACTCCTACTCGACACTTGATTTAAATTATACATAATTGTAATCACACTTGATATTGCTCCTCTAGACTACAATATTTTAAGTTGTTGCGGCCTTCATAAACGATATATTAAGATAAGCTCCTATTAATAAAAAATATAGTCAACTACCGGTACTTACAGTTGTGTGTGCAATTCTAGACTTCCTCTTAATAAATGTATTAAATCACAAACTCTTTCATGTCCATTTATTTGACAGCATAGCTTGAAGAGCTGAACAGGAATAAATTCATATAAAGTTAAACATTACTACAAATGATATTAAAAATGCACCACAAAAACATCAGTGAGACTCACTTTTTGTCAAACTTCAAAACTTTTTAACGACATTGCCTGCGGATGAACTTCAGGTTGAGAAACAAAATTTCCAAATCAGCCGACATTTTTGCGGTCGCTCCTATATGCGGTCCGGTAATATTAAATCCCTACCGAGATATAAATATATTCACCGCATATTCAGGCGAGCAACGAATACATTTTGCAATTACAAGTTCACTGATAAGAAAATAAAATCGGAGAGTTCATTTATTCCCTGCTGCAATGCTGAAAGTCAAATGGAATCACGAGGCCGCGGTTGGGTGCTAGAAAAAGACAATTTTTTTCTCTAACCTAAAGGATGAAAAAAATCACTAGCAAACATTGACCCGTGACAGGATGAAAAGTGTGTATGTTGATTCATTGGCCGTTGTTTGTCTAGATTTATGAGAATCTTTAACTAAAACTACTAATAAACGCAAATTACGATTGAAAAGATGTTCATTTAACTGCCCGTCAGTTGATTTATAATTGAAAACAATATGAGTAGTTTAGCCAGGCACGTGGAGACCAAATGAAGATGATGGGGGTTTGTCTTCAAATATTTTACCTCGGTCATCGGTAATTCGGTATGGATTACTCTTCCGTTCATCAAAGATTTAATATGAATAAATCCCATGTCACCTATATATGACTCATTGTTTGGATATAATTTGCCAGTTATTTGTGCTGACAGAGATGTTATGGTGAAATAGAGAAGAATTATATAGTGATTACAGTATTTCACCGTCTTCTTTTTTTCTGACATTTTTAAGTACCAATCCGGCCATGGTGGCAATCAAGAATATATTTTTTGTCAAAGTTTGTCACGCTTGAAATCATCGTGGGTCAACCTTATATAATTCGACCATGATTCAGACTAGCAGTGAGTTGCGGGTTCGATCTCAGCTGCCTGCGACAATTCAGGTTTAGGTTACGCCCAGCAAATTTGAGTAGTGAGCTACGTGTTCGAGACCGTAACAAGCTGTGAAAATTCGGCGATGTTCAGAATCAGCAACAGAATGAATGCAGACATTACTATATTGTACATACTAATATATTCTACTTCTACTACACTATACATCTGCCCAGAGCAAATATATTTATCAAGAATTACTGGAAGATTTAAAATGAACAGATGAATCTAATTTAAATCTCAGAACAAAATCAAACAAATCCAAAACTCAGTTGAGCGAGCACTTATTCACATTTGCTATAAGTTTAAAAACTCATGTCACATCATAGAGTAGGTAATATAAAATGGAAATATGATAGGAGGCAATGTGAACGAATCCCGAAAATTTAGTCTTGAAATAGTTCGTATGGACGACCACTCAGTCAAGCACCATCTACAAAGTGCACTACTTCCAACTTTAAAACATTATGACATCTCCTATCAGATCTAGAACATTATCTCGTAGGCTATAGCCTAGTCATTGATTCATATGACTTGGAAATATTTCTAAAATTTGCCTGAAACTTCTTTAATCTTCCAAGTACTAAGTTTTAATTTTGAGTGTTGATTCACTTTGAAACATTGAATAGTTTCTTCATTTCACAATTCAACGCTCTCCGTATTATATGTATATGTTTCAGATACACATATTTTTCATACAAGTGTTGAACATTCAGAATCTGGAACGGCCGTCGTCAGTTTTAAAGCAATTTTAGAGATTATTGGGTGTTACTGTAGACAAATCTAAAACCTACATAAAAAATTGAAGAATCTTATTAATCTACAAAAAATATCATCGCCTTCGATCATTCTGCGTCTACTATTTCAAGTGCATTCAAGAATAGGTTACTTTGAACCTAAGATTCGTGACGAGGATGGAGGTAGTGAAGTTCTAGTAACTGTAAGCAAGCGTGGAATGTTCAAATAATGTGTTGTGTTGCAATTCACGTTATATGAATGACATACTTTCACAATTATGTCACCTAAGTTACCAAACACACATTAGTTTGATAAGTTAATGGACATATGCAATGAACATTTGAAATTAAACCAATATTAGATATATTCTTAACACTATAGGGCAGGTACACTATGTTGATATTATATTCTGAATTATACTTATTACATTGGCAAGGACTACTACACACAGGACATGCATAGCCTATGTCCAGCCTCTGCTAGCAGAGGCGATCGCCTACACTATGAAAATGCTGGTGTTTTAGTGGCATCAACAAATGATATGCCCATAATTGTTTCATACAATAGTATTACAATGTGTGTAGTAGTCCTTGGTCAGAACCATAGACTTTTTGCCAGTTTTGAAGTTCAAAATTTTGTACTAAGCAAAGTAGGTACCATTTTCCTGCCTTCATACACNCAAGGACTACTACACACATTGTAATACTATTGTATGAAACAATTATGGGCATATCATTTGTTGATGCCACTAAAACAACAGCATTTTCATAGTGTAGGCGATCGCCTCTGCTAGCAGAGGCTGGACATAGGCTATGCATGTCCTGTGTGTAGTAGTCCTTGTACATTGGTAAAAAATTGCATACGCCTGGTGCTTCTAATACTCCGGAAATAGCAAATGCTCCGCAGTGTTCCAAGGATCAATTGTTCGCCAGAAAGCGCAATGTGATCTGTCGATTCCGGTTACAGAAACGTTTGAAGACGGACGTAAGTTACTGTGCTCTGTGCCCGACTGTGCAAATAACAATTATATATAGTTGAATAGGTTATATTGTTACAATAGTCTAGATTGGTGCATGGAGCAAAAGCTTGAGAGTAGAAGCTCCTTGGACGGTTGGACCTTATCTCAAGGATGCCGGTCGCAGCCGGTGCGTCGTCAGTAGCGAAGGGACGGGGGGGGGGGGCAGTTCGTCGGTGTCTGATTCACACGGGGACACCTCAGTCACACCGGCCGTTGTAGCCACACATGACACATCTTACTCTTCATGTTTGTTTGCATTTTGCAATTACATTCTTTCAAATTTTCTAATTTTGTTCTCCCACTTTTTCCAGTTTGCATTAAGTATTTCTGTTCTGTCTATAGTCAAGATATGGAAGTGACTGTCAAGTGAGAATTGAGAAAGTCAAGTTAAATAGATTCCAACTTTCCAAGAAAGTATCATTCATAATTAGCCTTCAATTCTAAATCCAAATTTTTAATAATTACAATAGCCAAAGATGAAAGAAGAAACCTCAGACTCAGAAACCTCACTCTCAGCTGGCGCATCACTTGAGATCATGACCATGAGATGAACTTATGAATATGATGTGAGTTTTCATCATTGAATATAGGGTAAACGCGGTATATTCCGACACTTTAAGGACGCATCGAGAAATGAAAAACTATAAAAAAAAACCGTATGCGTTACGTAAGTTCTGTTGCCTTCACATGACTCTCAAAACACTTCACTACGCGTCAGCAACGATGAAACGTCACAAAATGTTGCCATATTTATTAAAAAGCCTTTAGAATGGAAACCTACCAAATCCCTATATTCCGTCACTTTGTGTGGCAACATCCGACACCGCGACACGTAGTGAGTCGTATTGCGTCAGCGCTTCAAACTTAACTGATACGTATTGCCGACCCGGGCGACATCCACGTGTTCGAATTCCGTTTGCTGTGTGAGCTGTATTGGGATACAACACGGCTTTGAATTAGAACACTAACGAATATTAAACACTACTTAATTACGTTTTAATTAACAGCTATTAGGCTTTTAATTAATCAAATTTCAATTTTTGTACAAAGCTTTGAATGATCTGTGTGTGTCGACTGTGTCCAATTCAAGTTATGTCGGAATTAGTTTTCATGTGTCAATATATTCACAGATGTATTTAAAAGTCTCAAACCATAATATTCTTCCTATAAAAACAGTTATTCACTATTTGGTAGAGCCATGTCAACTGTCAAATTTGACACATTTTTCGATGATCTCACCACGTGGCATGCATTGTCTCTCTTTGGATCTCAATATTTTCCCGCTAGATGGCCCAGACCTAGTGTTTTTGCAGTATTTCGACACGCAAATGTATGACGTCACCATTTCAACCATCAATGAATGCATGGAACTAAAACAAAGCTTAATATAAAGGAAAAACTAGAGAAGTGACGGAATTACCTACGATGTCGGAATTACCGCGTTTACCCTAGTAATTCAATTACTACCTATAGGCTATATGCTATATATACTTCATTAATCTGTTTCTGTTATAATGTTATTTGCTAGCTAGTTCATTGATTTATATTCATTTCCCAACTTTCATTTGGTTGTGTCACTTGTGAAGTTGTGTGTTGTGTTGAGTGTTATTGTAATATTATTCTCTTTTTCCCCTTTATCATTTCTCTATATGATACTTGAAAAGTTGAAATTTTTAAATATTGATTACCTTAATTCATCATTTCATGGCTCAATGCATACTATTGCATATGCTTACAGCCTTACACTATTAGGAAATGAGTTACTCAGGTTCCTTGTTTGTATTAAATTCTTGCACATTGATGCTTTATGTCCATTGTCCATCTCCATCAGAACCAACTTCAAGAAACTTTCTTATATGCACTAAAATAAAATTGATAAAAATACTAAATTACTGTATATTTTCAAAAGTTTTTCAGTCAATCCAAGCAACTATTTACTACAGTTTGTTTATCTGCACTGCACCTGCAGTAAAAAAATTCAATTTTTCTCATTGTCCACTTGAAGTTATTTAGTTGCCAATCAACAAAAACTAAAAGCCATCATGTGACAGTTCAGCCTGTCCAGGGTGCTGAAAGTGGGTGAATATCGCAAGATCTTTAGCAAGGCATCAGTAGCAATATTCACACCTTCAGAAGATCTTGCTGAAACATTTGAATTGAAATTATTGCATTTCAGTTATTTGCCAGTCTTCAGCCAACTATTTAGAAAATAGTTGAAAATCTGAAAGACTGCAAGTGCATACAGTAGGCTTTCTGGTATGTTGGATGGATCAGAATGCAGTGAAGCTTGTCTGGAAATCAGTTGTGATGAGTGTAAGAGTTGCAGTGTGTGGAGAGTAAGGGATATACTATCAAAGTTGTAAGGAGCATTTTCTCATTAAAAAATAATATACGTTTAAAAATTACTTTTTAAAGACAACACTTCCAAAGAATCCAGTATCTCCAATCTTACAGATGTACAATGAATTTCTCATCTAATTTTCGAAAATTAAAAAAATTACCTTTTCAATTTTTTAAATATATATAAATTTTTTTTAATATATAAATTTTTTTCAAAATTATTTATTCTGTTAATTGATTCGTGCATTGCCTCTGAATTCACACCAGTGTGCAAAATTTCAGATCAATTAGACAGGTAAAAGTGTGTCAAATATCAGTTATAAGATTTGTAGCTGACGAAATTATTTTTTCAATTTTTTTAATATTAAAAAAAAATTTTTTTAATTTCTAAAATCATTTATTTTGACATTTGATTCATGCATTGTCTTCAACTTTACACAAGTTGGCAAAATTTCAGATCGATAGGATAAGTAGAAGTGTATTAAATTTTGATTACAAGATTTGTAGCAGACAGACAGACAACACCAAAACCTGGAGTTATTTGGAGTTATTTTACCAAAAAATATAATTGATTTTACCACCCGGTCTAAGTTACCCCAGGAGCTGGGGTAACAAAGACCATCACTTTTTTTGAGATTACATAAAGACTATGAGAGGCAGGAGCCAGCAATTTATGGTGAGCTAGAGAGTATAGACCTGTATTTTGCATGTTTCAATTCAAGTTTAATTTAGCTAGTAAAAAAATGGCATCATTTATAAAAAAGAAAGTGGTCTAAGTTACCCCATTTTACGGTAATGGCTATAGCAAGGAATATTTAATTTTTGTCTCTCTGCCTTACATCCAAAATCTATTCATGCTTAGACCAAAAAGTAATCTGGTCTTAATCAGAATCTGGTCAGAAAGTAATCTGGTCATAAGTAATCAGCAGGTGGCTGCTAGTGCTGTAATAAATATATACTTTTTACGGCACTCAAGCTTGCATTATGTCTTGCAGGAGCATCTCACACTCACAGCACTATAGGACCCCAGCAGAGATGGAGGAGGTGTTACCTACACTGAAGGTGTCCTCTGCTGCAAATGTTAAGTTGGGTGCAGATCAGAAGTTATGTCTTTTGACAGAAGACTGCAGGCAGATGCAGTCTTTACTGCCAACTTGTATCTCTGGTAATTTTTTCTTGTTAATATTTTTATTAATTTATTTATGTATGATGCAGACCTAGAAAAATTATATATTTCAGATATTTGTGCTCAATGATAAAAATTTAACTTCATTTAAAATTAATAATTTTGATCCTGGTTTAGTTCAATGTATTTCATTCTCTTGGTATAAACAATATATAATTTTTTCTGGCATATTTTTTATCCAGTACCAAGTTGAAAAATGGCAGTCAAGTATTTAAATCTGAAACAATTTGTTTCCATTGTTCAATGTACCAACCCAAAGAAGTTAGTTTACCTCAAATCAAGCTTACCTAAAGAGACGTGTACTGTTGTTGTGCATTATTGTTGACTCCGATCGCTTCATCTTTCACTATTATTTCATTTTTTGTACTATTATGAAACAGGGTTTCCACTATTAGTATGAAACAGGGTTTCCACTATTAGTATGAAACAGGGTTGCCAGTATTATGTACCACTATGTCCTGGAGAAATACCTACACCTTGTGGTGCACATGTGTAGTACCTGCCACTTCAGAGTCAACATGTTAAACATAAGTCAAGTAAATTCCACGTAAGGAATTAGGGAATCCATGGTCAGCTTTCTGGTAACACTCATGAAGCTGGTGCTGAAATGGTCATGTGCAAAGATTTTAATAGAATTTTATGTAAAGTTTATAGAAGTAATTATTCTGATAGCTATTTCTCAATTTATTGAATTAGCTCTCAAGTTGTGATGCCACTTGCAGGAGCTGTGAAGACTGAGCCTTGTGATGAGCTGCAGTCAATCTCGGGGCTCTCAGCTGACTTCCTTGAAGTGGAGAAAGAGGAACCTTTCTTCATGGAAGAAGTGGGTTATTTTCTTCATTGAATTTGGCTCTCATTATTATTCAAAATATAAAAATGTTGATTTTCTGAACCATTTAATACCTAGTCTTATGACCATATGATGTAGGTTAATGCTAATGTTATGGTCTATCTGCACTCTATTGCAAGCATGGTGTTGAATGAATTTAGTTAAACAAAATTCTGAATGGCTTCACAGAGGAAGATAGGAGTACTCACTTCCTTTAATATACAATTGTACATCCTTACATCTTGACAGCACATAATTCCTATAAGTTGGTCAAAGAAGATGTAGCAACTTCATTGAAAAAGCTGTGAGTGGGCTAAAACTTCTGTTGGTTCAGGAGTATGCCAAATTATTAGTCAATTATCCATACTGAATCTTATCTTTTGTGTAGTCAAATATTTCTATGGAAGAAATATGGAAATTTTCTTCAGAGTTGGTATAAAGTTTAATTCCATCATCATCAACTTGTGTTTACTACTTGCATTTTAATTCAACACCATAGTTCCAGAAATTTATTTCTGGGAAAAATATCAATTTTGAAAAAATATTGAAATTCAAATCTGCCCTATTTTAATATGTAATAATCTATTTATTAATAAGGATAATAAATAGATTAGGTGACAAATTTACAAGTCACTGGATTAATTGTTGCTAAAAATTCTAATAGGTATGATATAGGGTATTCATATGATAGGTAGGTATTTAATTTAATTTAACCTAATATCATGCATATATTTCAGTATGTCCTGGTTACAATCGAAACAATTCAGTAATATTACTTCCATTTGTGCAGGACATCTCAACTTCAACTGACGCTGAAAACTTGGGGCTTTCTTTCCTAGGATTTGAAACTGTCAAGAGCGAGCCTGTCGAGGCAGCTGTCAAGACAGAGCCTCTGGAAGCTGTTGTCACATCTCCATATTTCGTCCAAGGCTTCTTTGCTCACAAAGAACTCGCAGCCACAGCAGATATCTTCACTCCATTTAATGTGCTTTCATTTAAAGAGGAAAGTTTTACGCTTGCAGACGATCAAAGCCACGAATTTACTTTCCTAGGCTTTGATTCTCTCACCGCAGAGCCTGTCGAAGCTGCTATGGTATCTCCATCCATCTCCCTGACTCCCACTGCAGACGAAGAACCCGCAACAACAGCAGACGTTTTTCCCCCGTGTCAAGCAGCGCCTTTTTCTGCCTGCTTAGCCTCTTCTTCTAAGAAGCCGCACAATTCTAGTGGCTCAAAGATTGCTCCACTTTCAGAAAGTTCCAATTTACAACGCAAAAGTAAACCAAAAGAAATTCGAATTTTATCCCCTGAACAGGAAGCCCGTGAATTTCGCTCTTCAGATAATGAGCGTGGTATTCCTTTTAAATCCGCTGCTTCGTTAAATTATGCTGACTGCAAAGGGACAAAACCCGTTGGAGGAGGGCGGAAGGCTTCATGTAAAACAAGTGATCTTTCTAAATATGTGGACGTCAAACACGCAAAGTATTTTGACTTGAAATTCAAGGAATGCCGTGTATTATTGAATCGTATTAATGTTCCACAAAATACTGTCCTTATAAAGGATGTAGAAACTGATGAAAATATTCGTTCCGAAGTGCGTGGCAGAAATCCAAGTGGGACACAAAACTTGTGTGAAGAAAATGAGTTAAGCTCTTCTAATATCTCTGATACAAAGCCTAACATTCGAAATTTGTCTAAGCTCCCAAATGATTCATCAAGAGATTTAATTTCTTCCACGAGTTCCCGCGGTCGTCGTAAGAAAGATAAGAATATTAAGTGTCATATCTGTGGCTTTGCTTTCCGCCATAAATGGGATTTTGACCAACATTTCAAAGCTGTTCATCTCAAATTGAAGCCCTACAAGTGCTCCTTGTGTGATTTTGCATGCAGCCTCATTGCAGGTCTACGACATCACTTAAATACAGTGCATGAAAAGATTAGGCGTTTCAAGTGCACAATTTGCGACAATAATTTCAGCACGAAGGCGTACCTGCAACACCACGTCGCTTCTTCTCATCTCAACTTCAAACCTTATAAGTGTCCACACTGTGAATACTCAGGCAGCCGGAGGGACACACTCAGACGACATATTTCTGGCGTACATCTCCTGCTCAAGCCTTACAAGTGTAACTTGTGCGAGTATTCCGGTAGTACTAAGCGCTTATTAGATAACCATATCGCCGGCACTCATTTAGAAGCAAAACCTTACCAGTGTCCAGACTGCGACTATGCTGCTGCTGCCACGGACATACTCAAGAGACATACTCAAGCTGTGCATTTAAAGTTGAAGCCACATAAATGCGATCTTTGTGACTATGCTTCTACTACTAAAGGATCTCTTGCCGTTCACATTGCTCGAGTGCATCAGAAACTGAGGCGTTACAAGTGTCAAGAATGTGATTATTCTGCTGCCATAAAATGTAAGTTAACGCAACATGTAAAAGCCGTGCACTTGAAACTAAAGCCTTTTAAATGTCACGAATGTTCCAGTTATTTCTCTTTGAAAACTAATCTTCAAGCTCACATCTCCAGAGTACATCTCCGCAGCAGACCACACGTGTGCCCACATTGTCCACATTCTGTGTGGTGCAAGGCCGCACTGGCCACACATATTGCACGCGTTCACCATAAACTGAAACCTTTCAAGTGCCTCCAATGTACCTTTTCCACCTTTTCTAAAACTGGTCTAGATTCCCACGTTAATATGGTTCATTTAAAATTACGACCTAACAAATGTCCCATCTGCAACCGTGGGTTCTACCACAAAAAAGATCTTGATTGTCACGTAAAATCGGTGCACATTAACTCGAGGGAACATAAATGTTCCGAATGTAAATTTTCAGCGAATAGCATGAAAAATCTAAAGTATCACATGAATGCTGTTCATCTCAAGCTTAAGAAGTTCACATGTTTGCACTGTGATTTTAGTACATGTCATCGTGGGTACCTCAAGAAGCACGTTGATGTGGTGCACTTGAATATAAAGAAATATGACTGCGGCCAATGTCAGTACCGCTTTGCTTGGAAGTCTGATCTAATGCGCCATGTCGCCGCAAAACATTAAAACAAAACATTTTTAACTTTGTTGTATCAGAAACATTGTGTTGTATCAGAAACATTGTATCAGAAAAATTGATGTCACCGAGTTTTCTTCTAAACAATGATTTATGTTGCCTTTTTTTGCAGGAGTTATTTGCTGTCACTTTTCTTCGTTATAATTCCTGTGTTTAATTGTAATGTATTTAACATTACCAAGTTTTTTTTGGTTAATGACATTTCTTGTGTTTCCTGTTAGAGAGATAACAACTTCAATTTGTTGTTTGCTGAATTTTTTTTTTGCTTAGGTATATTGGTGAGATATTATCAATACTTATGAAATTTAAGTTAAAAATATACCTATAAGACTCGCCAACCCTCAATGTTCTAATATATAAAGGCTTTCTAATTGAAGTCTAAACATGCTTTGTTCGTGTCGCTATGTCGCAGGTCCGACACGAATTTGATCTCAAGCCAATAAATATTTTGGCTGATTGTGTTCGCGTTTATTTTCTTCTGCTTAGATTATCAATGAAACTGGTAACAATTTTGCATAGACTAAAATGTAGAAAATGGATTAAAATGTAAGATTACTTGGCTCAGTATAGCCTGGTTGTAAGAAGCTGACAGCGGCTGTAACGTTGTGCAGTGAAGGCAGTTTTTTACTGTCAAAAATGCGTTGGTAATACCCGTATTCATGAGCTCGTGACTGAGTTTTTCACTGACGGCTTTTCATCGTCGCAGCGACATTTTTACAACCAATATCGTTGGGGCAAGGGTGCTTGTGCTATGTTGCCGCAGCAGAGCACCAGTTTTGCCATCAAGTTTGGTTGGATCGAGAGCACCAGGCTTCACAGCAGCAGAGATTGCGCTGCGTACGGCAGAACCAGCTCGACGGATGGCTTATAGCTGCAGTGGTGAGAGAAGTAGAGGCTCAGTCTCTCGTACGGATTCGAGTCACTTTCATGTTCTTTCGGCAAGTTCAATTCAGCCATTCATCCCATTTTTTGTTGATAAATGGGTTTTGCAAACGAAAATAGTTCTGGTCGGTTAGCTAGCCAGTGATGGTTGTACTAGTAGAACAAGCGTACCATGGTTTTTGTGCCCTGAAAAATTGACCAATTACTCTCCTCAGTAAGTTGCGAGGCGCTGCTAGTTTAGTTGCCTTGTTAAATTCTCAGTACATTTACTTGTTAATTAATGTTCCAAACGAGGCAATAAAATACGGGCCATAGCACATAATTTATGAAATCTTGTCTGACTTTACTTTTCCCTGACAAACTGTCAGTAAAGTTTAAACTAGTCAGGCTGCGTGTGCAGCAAAGCACTCACTACTATCTTTGAAGTTCGTCAGAATTAAGTTACTCATCATTGAACTGCCTGAGTTTCCGGTGGGTTTTCACAGAAATTTCCTCGCATAGGAATTTATTTTTTCATTATGGGAAAACACAGGTTAAATGGATCAAAAGGAGTATGTGAAGAGCCTTCAGCAATCATTCAGATAAATTATCACAGAGACTACGAGGTAACTTGTAAAGCAAACGAGTGGAGAGATCTCTATACAACCTCTTTATAAGGCAGGCAGGGAGCGATTGGCGTAAATTTTTGTCAATATTAACCTGACCTCGCGCAAGCTGGTCGCCATTTCAGCAGGTCGGACTCTATTGTGACTGAGCCGGCAATACATTATGCTGCTTAACCCTCTACCGCCGTATGTCACTCTCCGAGCATATAACTTTTCAGCCTAAATTATCCGTAAAATATTGAGTGTAGCAACCTGAGGACGTTTGTACGCAACAGAGAACATTTTAAAGTTGTCGTACGTGGCGGCAACCATCAGTGCAAGTCATTTTGCGCTCACTAGAACGTATCCTTTCTGGGAAGTAGGCTTGTGACAATATTGCTCCGGTTACTCGTGTCAGCGGTACAGTTTAGTTTCAAACTCCTGGTGCAGCGTTTGAAACCTCCAATACACTTGGAACTAAGAATGCTGATGTATGATGAATAATATTTTATAAAGTTGTAAACTGTTTAGTTGTACAAAAAATCTCAAATAAACTAATTTATTAAGACCTAGGGGCAAAATACACCTGAGCCCATTATTAGCCATGTGAGTGTCGGTTATCGAAGAATGTTTTCCAACCTAATTTTCATCTACATCTAGCATTTTCCTAGCGAAGTAACTATGTGACTTACTATTTTTCCTATAAAATATCCATCAGAGACAGAGCACTTGGTATTGCCCCAGCAAAATACGCATCTGGACTTAGTAGGTTACCGGCAAAAACATTATGTGCACTTAGTATTTCCCCAGTAAAATATTTATGTGAACTTTCTCGGTTCCATCAAATATCGAACTCCATTGAGTATTTTTTTAATCCTAATCTCGCTCGATCATTTTCCTCAGACGATCACAACTCTGAGGTCGTGTCGCGCTTTATTAATACATGTATAAGTAAATGATGCACAAGACTTCAGTACTGCCAAAGGCTTGGATTGGCCGAGTTGTTCAAATTAGCTGATTAGGAGCCTTATTAACACATACAATGAAATCTTACGAAACGCAAGCAAATTAATCTTATTTTATTAAAAAACTTCGTAAAACAGTTTCATCATTAAGCTAGAAAATATAGAAAACACCACTACAATTCACAAAAAGCAAAAATTACACGAGGGTTAAAAACCATGCAACGAAAAAAATCGGCGAAGGATCATAAAAGGCTTAAAATTGACAGTTTCAAGGTGATATAAATAGTGAGCGTTATTAAAGCAAGGTTTCCGTTCAAAAAAGCACAGAGATTTTGGTTCTTGACAGTTTCCAGGTGATTTAAACAGTTAGCGTTATTGAAGCAAGGTTTCCCAATGTACAGAGATTTTGGTTCTCAAATCCGAAGCTCCAGAGGTGGGACCCAGGATCTTAATATCGCTCCGCGACACAATCACGTCGCATCGCTTTTAATACGGGATAGTACTAGCGGCTAGTAGATCAGAAAATTGCCACATGTCTGCCGCTTGGTGTCTAAGCTTCCTTGCGAGATAGACACCAAGCGGCAGACATTTGGCAATTTTCTGATCTACTAGCCGCTAGTACTATCTCCGTGTACAAGCACCCTAATTAGACTTGGAGCGTTTTTGGGGCGTCCGGTATCCCGTACCTATCTATGTTCAAGTTGTGGTGCGATCTAAATAGTCTACGTCAAGAATAATAGAAGAGAAAATTCATATAACATTCATCATATTTTCATTAAAAACTTGTCGCAAAGACCTCCCGCAAATCGACATTGTTCAAAGCATCTCGAATACACTCATAATCATAAGAAAGACTAATTTCTACAGATGAAATCATAACCTAAATAGCCAGATAAGCGGGCAAGCAACTTAAAAACCTAACGAATAGGTTTTTCAGTTTTTTTAAATAGGTTCATCATTCAATCACTCAAGAATTATGGCCGTTGTTAAGATGAAGTTCTCGTTTAAAAATTTGCAGCGATTCTTGTATCCGTAAATCCGAGGCACCAAAAGTAAACAGCAACTCGTCATAAGGTTATGACCACAATTAGCTCAGATATTAATCAAGATAATTACTGTGCGAAAGTTCCCTTAAGCCAAATTACGCCATCATTACCGAAATATTGACGAAACGATAACTACATTACGGTTACGGTAAGCTTTAAGATTTCAGTCATTTGGAAATGAGCTTCGCCGTTGCTTGGTAGCTTGCTAAGAGAACGCATCATTCTAGAATTTTTTCGGTAAATATAAATTTCTTATAAAGAAACTGAGCTTGCAAGAAGACAGTAAACTTGTTCTTGAAGACAGTAAAGCTTGCATGCGTGAGCTTCGCACTGCGACGGCGCACGGAGGAATGAGGTGGGTGCGCTAGCGGTGCTCCGGAACGACAACTCCTTTATCTTTGTTCCGGCTAATCGTACATAGTTAGCAAAATATCCATTGTAAAGAAGGTGTTATAATCAAAGGACAATTAGCTATAGAAAGAACGCCGTGAAAACAGCCATCTGTTTGCTAATTTATCCTAAGGGACTGAAGTAGGGATGATATTGGTTCAGATTTGATTGGGCTGAGGGTGAGAGTGAGGCAGCGCTGGTGCGGGTCGTGGCCTTTCTCCCCACACACCGCGCACCTACCGTCGTCAAACCTGAGGAAGGATTTAGGTTGCACTAATGCGTTACAGGTTCAGGTATCGTTCATATAATAAGAAGGTATATAAAAGCATGTATATCTCTACAGAGAAAACTGATATACCAATAATAGTCCTGCTCAGGACTATATTATACAATTACTGCTATTTTGTTTAACTCTTCATCGACTTATTTGAGCAGTGGGCGGAATTTGTGGCATATTTGGTTAAAGTAAAGCACCTACCGTCGTCAAACCTGAGGAATGATTTAGGTGGCACTAATGCTTTACAGGAGGGCACAGGTTTTGGTAGCATCCATGTATAAAGAATAAATATTAAAAGCAAGTCTATCTCGATTGAGAGAACATACAGTTTATACTTATAGAAGTCATGCTTAGGACTATACTATATAATTAATAATTGTTCTATTAATAAATAATAATAATAATAACAATAATGATAATAATAATAATAAATATTATTATAAATTTTTACTAATCAAATATTTTTACTAATCAAATAATTGTTTAGCTCTTCATCAACTCATTCGAGCCATGTGCGGAATTGGTGGCTAATTAGGTTATACTTTGAATTGGTGTTTTTTATAGCTCACTCTAAGTTATGAACGAATTTTTATTTGAGTGTTGTTGGGGTTGCCCCCCATGACTCACCTAGCGCAGGTGTAGCCTGTGGTGCCCCCCGTCGTCCTCACCCCCCGCTGCTGCAGCCCCCACACCACACTCACCACCTCATCATCACCCAGATGACATCCTGACAGCCTCAGGGAGCTGAACCTGTGGTGAGGTGAAGCTTGTTCATCACACTTGTTTTGTCAATAACTGTTTATTGTTCCGTCAATACTTCACCACTAACCATTTCTTCCACCACTAACCGTTTCTTCCACCACTAACCGTTTCTTCCACCACTAACCGTTTCTTCCACCACTAACCGTTTTTTCCACCACTTCCGTTTCTTCCATAATTCCATCATTAACCGTTTGTTCCACCACTAACCGTTTCTCCCACCACTTACCGTTTCTTCCACCACTAACCGTTTCTTCCACCACTAACCGTTTCTTCCACCACTAACCGTTTCTTCCACCACTAACCGTTTCTTCCACCACTAAACGTTTCTTCCACCACTAACCGTTTCTTCCATCACTAACCGTTTCTTCCACCACTAACCGCTTGTTTTCAGGTGCAAGTCCCTCCACCAGTGCGATGACGTCATCGCTCCCCCCCTCGGGGGAGAGGCATACGGTGAGGGTAGGGGGGTGGAGGGTGCTGGTCGGGAGGGGGCGTGGCTGGGACGGCCCCCCACCCTGGGGTTTAGTGAACTGCTTCGCACTCTCGTGTTGCACGGTTATGTCTGCATTAAATAAATCCTTTAATATTATAATAAATTATTAATCGTCAGTCTAATAAACGCTATGAAGAGTGGGCATCAACCATGCATATGTCGATAAGAAAATTCGATTGAGCATCATTTGATACGGAAAAGTGTTGAAGTAGATGGCAAATACAGGGTTGGGCAGAACCGATTGAGCAGTTTTGAGGTGAAATAAATGAGTAATGGAGGCACATAAAGAATAAAGTCTATTTTCCTCGAGGTTAGCATAACATACCATTTAGAATACTTATGTTTTGAAAACAATATCAGGAAGATGGTGGTCGTTAGTTGCAACACACTGTTATAGTCGTTATTGGAAGTTAAACAATTATTTAACACTGTGTTGCAGCTAACGGCCACCATCTTCCTGATATTGTTTTCTAAACATAAGTATTCTAAATGTTATGCTATGCTAACCTCGAGGAAAAGAATTTTCTTCTTTATGTACCTCCATTACTCATTTATTGTGCTTCAAAATTGCTCAATCTCTTCTGCCCCACCCTGTATCTACCAGTTTGCTACTGGTAGGATTGGGCACGGGGTCAATAATTTCATGGTTTAATTGTGTAACATAGCAGGTTAGATGTTTATAGTTAGACGAACCTAACTTACTATAGTCATTTGTTGGTTGTAGTAAGGTGAACCTAACGAACTCAATTAACAGTTATGTTATGTTAAGTTAGATGAACCTAACTGATCTACCTGAACCTAACTGATCTGTAGTTTGGTTAACCTATCTCACAATAATACATAATCGGGTGTAGTTACCTAATTACCTGCCGTGTGGTGAGGTGCTTACCAAGGGTGTGGTTCCTATGGTTGAGGTACTTAAGTAGGTGATGACTGGAGGGCTCCACCAAGCTCAGGTGCAGCTCGGGCACCCACCCCTGCATGGTCCAGGGCAGCCCCCCCGCCTCGTCCACCGCCGCCCCCAGCGCCGCCGCGGCGGCCTCCCGCCCACCCAGGCACCCCCTGAACTGCACCAACCCGCACCTGCACCACCAATGGAGGTTAGGTGGCGTTGAGGGGTGTTAGATGGTGTTTGGTGGGGTTAGATGGTGTCAGGTGGGGTTAGGGTGGAGTTAGGTGGTGTTAGATTCTGTCAGGTGAAATTAGGGTGGAGTTAGATGCAATAAGGTGGGGCTATGGTTTGGAAAAATGTTGTTGGTGGTAGTAAATGGTGTTTGGTGGTGTTAGTGTAGAGTTGGGTGGCGTTAGATGGTGTTGAGTGACGTCAGGTGGGGTTCGGGTGGAGTTGGGTGGTGTTAGATGGTGTTGAATAGTGTTAGATGCTGTCAGGTGGGGTTAGGGTGTCTTAATATGGTATTCTGCGCTGTTGGGTTGTGTTGACATGGTGTTATGCGGCTCCATGTGGTGTTTGCTGTGGTGCTTGATGGAAACTTGTTGAGAATAGCGAACAGTTTAATAAACAAGCTACAGAAGAGGAAGAAATAAGCGTACCTTATAATCAACCTCACACCACCTGTCATCACATCACCCGTCATCATAACACCTGTCATCACAACACCTGTCATCACACCAGTTGTCATCACACCACCTGGCACCGCTGAGGTTGTGTTCCACCATGTCATCACATGGCATGAAGTTGTCATGCGAGCGCCGCATGTCTAGCTTAAGCGTCCCCTTGAAGTGTTGTCCAATGGCGGCGAGGATGAGGGGAGGGGTGGACACAGACCGGGGGAGGGCGAGGTTAAGGATGAGGGGTTGGGAGTGGGGCAGCATCCTTGCGACGCTCCCGCAGTCATTCGAGTCCTGCACTCGCCACTCGGACGAGGAGACGGCGGCGGAGCGTGCGGCGATCTTGGCCACCTCATCGTCGTCGGGCCACAGGTTGACGATGCGGATCCAGTCCTGTCGGAGTGGAACCGTTCATCGTCACACTTAGAGAAATAAGCGAGCTTTTGTCCAAATATTTATACACTTTTTGCCGTTGTATGGACCATTCTGACCTAGTTTAGCATGGCAAATGAACGTTTCAGTACTCAGTTCGAAAAGTGTATTTCTAAATCGGGTACGGGTGTAAATTCCACCCGTACATTTTCTGACTGCATGTTCTGGACTTAGGAGTCGAATGAGATAATATTTTTAATATAAAGGTTTAATTTTACAGTTCAGTTAAAGGGAGTTTATGACCGAATTATGAGCTTTTAGTTAATTTTGACCTGCGCTGGGGTACTGGTGGTGCTGAGCAGCCTCAGCAGCTGACGCAGTGAAGACCCCAGCCGTAGCTTTCTGGAGTCGCTGTTGATGTAGAGCACCGTGAACAGGATCACGTTCTGGTACCTGTAACAGACGAGGAAACAATGACAAAACCTGCTCCTGTATCTTCTACAGACGAGTATCCAACACTTTTGTGGATAAAAGCAACCATTTGAGATGCCAAAAATTACCTCTTTAAGTCTGCCTCGGTTACGGGCATCCCAGTGATCTCACTTATGACCTGCAAGATATCGACATCTTTTCGTGCTCGTAGCGTCCTGATGAGTGTCTTGGCAGCCAAGTACTCTGCAAATGACTTGTGGAACCATTCGAACGTCCCTTCCGTGGGATCAGCCCGAGATTTCTTAGCTGTCATGAGACATGACAAGATTGATTTGTACGGCAGTTCTTTGCCGATTACTTTGTAGCATTCTTGACAAAACTCCTTGTAAGTCTCCGAGTCTACTTTATGCTCTCCCATGTGCAGGCATTTTAGACTCAAGTCGCAGATTTTATCACAGATAATGGATGCCACGATGTCAGGGTTGACAATGACATGTTCTGACACCCTCTGCTCCACTTTTACTTCTCCTAGCCTCAAGGTCTGCTCCATGAGATTCTCTGGTGAAGTCAGGCAGTTGACACCCTCTGGGTTCGTGCGGAAGAGGTGGCAGAAGAGTGCCAGGTAAACGGGATAGATGAAATAGCTTCGAGCTCCTTGCAGTCCTTTGAAGGCCTCCACGAGATCTGGAGCCCGGATATCCGGTATGACTTTTTCGTAGCGCCGCAGGAACTTGAGTTGCTCATCATTCACACTGATATCCTTAATGGAATAACAGTCGTGAGATATGCTGGCTGCCTCCAAGTCCTGGATGAAGTCTTTGGCAGCACTGGGCCTAGAGGTGACGAGCATCCGTGAACCCTCTCCCCCATTAAAAGTTTTCAGAACATCTTTGACCAGCTCTTTTGTGATGCTGGTCAGGTTGTCCATGCCATCTATTATTATCAAAGTTCTGGAATTTAGCACCGCTTCCGCAGCATCTTGGGAAAAATCTGTGAAAATTTTGAGTGTTAACGGGAAGCTGTTACGAACGAATTGTCCCAGAGTAGAAACTTTCGTTTCTCGACATTCGATGTGAAGTATAGCGCCAAATAGATTGAGTCCGTGGAAGATACTATCTGATGCAGCAATTTCAAGGAAATCTAAGGCAATACGCTTTACTAAAGTACTCTTGCCAGATCCAGCTGCTCCTTGCACTACCACACACTGAGCAGAATCTTCTTCGGTTTCTGCGAACAATTCGTTACAGTTGACTTCACGTTGAGTGTTTTCACACACGAGCGTTATGCTGTGAAACACTTCATTTAAGGGCACTTTTATTTGGCTGAATGGGAGACATTCTTCGGTTAGGTATGCTTCGCGTTTGGCTTTCATTTCAATTTTACCTTGGGTTCGCACTGCCTTCAAGACCGCAGACACCTCTTTCTCGCGACAGCTTATAATCCCCTCTTCAACGGTTTGTATGTCCGAGGCAACCGAAGCGCAGAACTCCTCCGCTTCATCACGGTCCACGTTGAACTTACGTGCCGATACCAAAATGAGATCCCTTAACGGCCTGCCCACTTCGGTTATGAAGTTTTTGCTAACTCCTTTTCCTTCGGGATCATGAATCACGGAGTTCCTCAGCACCTTAACCCTGTATAGGTGATACTCTAGAGTAGTTGGGTCCTCCTTTGCCTTGGCCCACTCACAAGAACGCGTTTTAGTAACTCCTTCGCATGCAAATGGTATGACTTCATACAACATTGATGTGTCATAGCTTTCACTGCTCGTTGAATCCAACTGCCGTTCGTGGAACTGGAAAAGTTTCTTGAGGTTGCACTTGCATTTCAAGCTAATATACTCAAAGTACGTTTGATCTGGCTCTTTCTTGCACCCCCATTCGAGTACCTTCCTTAGGACTTTAGGTATCACCTTGTCAACGCATTTCTTGTTGATGAACCGGTACTTGTCTTCCTCTGGCAAGTGCGATACCCATGATTGGTTTTGAATATAAGAGTTCGTCATGTTTATTTCTAACAATTTCTAACAACGAATGTTCGTCAATTAGAATCTTGCCTATTTTGATGACACATTCTCCGTATAATTAAGAAAATTCAAGACGTACTTCCCTGAAAAAGTTACAAATTCTAGTTTAAGTTTTAGTTAGAAAAATAATTCATTCATCGAAATAATTCAGTTTCATTAGTTGTCGGTAATGAAATAAATTATTATTTTTTGTAGAGTAATGAATCCAGACACTTTATCAAAGTAATGATCTTCGATTACACATTGATAACCAGCGCGCCTATACTACATGTACTGCTTATCAACTGTTCGCCTGGTGCAGACTAAGGTCAAGTTTTGAAGACCCTCTAATGAAACACGCATAGTCTTTTATCTCATCGATGAATCATCGACATATCCGACACGAATCATTTCGTCTTATCTTCTGTCTTGACATCAATTAGTCTTATACCTTATTCATTATGTGGTCCTCGTATCAATTGGAATCTTGCAATCTTCACCTATCGATTACAGTTAAATTAATTTTGATTAATATTCTTGACAAGCCGGATTTGCATTAAGCTTTCTAGCAGGGAAAACATTCATGCATGATTACTCACTGACAATCATCGGTCATTAATAAATATGATAAAGACACTCGGCTTTGCACTTAACATTCTTATCACCTATTACGTCTGTTGCGTGTGAAGGTGCTACACCAATTAAATTGATGATTAGAATTACAGGTAAATTATATGTGAGAATCTTTAAATTAAAATATTTGCCTTTCAATGTTCGCATAGGACAATTTTTAGTGAATATAAATAAGACTATATTCATATCGCACAATATTTACGAACAAAGTGTTAATATTTATGATGCGCGCTTTACTCGTACATAATAACGGTGCAATATTTTTATTATAAAATGTTCTAGTTAGACATGTGGATTTATTGATCCATTAATAATTAGGCTGATCAGAAATCATAATTGAATGATGGTATTTTATTGCTGAATAGCCTTAATTGCATCGGCCGTAGATATTTCCTCCTATACTCAATTTTTTTCATCTTTTATTACCCAGAAGACATCTTCCATATGGAGACCGGACTTTGCCCCTGCAGACAATATCTTCCATATGGAGACCGGACTTTGCCCCTGCAGACAATATCTTGCACATGGAGACCGGACTTTGCCCTGCAGACAATATCTTCCATATGGAGACCAGACTTCGCCCCTGCAGACAATATCTTCCATATGGAGACCGGACTTTGCCCTGCAGACAACATCTTCCATATGAATATCTTCCATATGGAGACCGGTCTTTGCCCTACAGACAATATCTTCCATATGGTGACCAAACTTTGCCCTGCAGACAATATCTTCCATATGGAGACCGCGGACTGTGCCCTGCAGACAATATCTTCCATATGGAGACCGGACTTGGCCCTGCAGACAATATCTGCCATATGGAGACCGGACTTGGCCCTGCAGACAATATCTGCCATATGGAGACCGGACTTGCCCTGCAGACAATATCTTCCACATGGAGACCGGACTTTGCCCTGCAGACAATATCTGCCATATGGAGACCGGACTTGGCCCGATGACGTGTATCGATATCAGTGCAGCTTATCAGACACTCGAGTGTAGGAGCTGTCATCGTGTCCGCGGTTCTCTCATCACGCTCGACCATCAGGCTGATAAGGGGAGCAAGTGACGTCATGCCAAGTGAACCCGGTAATCATGTTACATTATTCATTGCAAGTTATAGTTAATTGTTTTCATTAGAGTTAATAGTTTTCATTACAGTTAATATTTGTATTGCAGTTAATTGTTTTCATTCCAGTTAATTGTTTTCATTGCAGTTAACTGTTTTCATTACAGTTAACTGTTTTCATTAGTTAATTGCTTTCACTGCAGTTAATTGTTTTCATTACAGTTAATTGTTTTCATTACAGTTAATTGTTTTCACTGCAGTTAATTGTTTTCATTACAGTAAATTGTTTTCATTACAGTAAATTGTTTTCACTACAGTTAATTGTTTTCATTACAGTTAAATGTTTTCATTACAGATATTTGTTTTCATTGCAATTAATTGTTTTGATTGCAGTTAATTGTTTTCATTACAGTTTATTGTTTTCATTACAGTTAATCAGTTAATTGTTTTCATTACAGTTAATTGTTTTCACTCCAGTTAATTGTTTTCATTACAGTTAATTGTTTTCACTACAGTTGAATGTTTTCACTACACTTGAAAAATGTTTTCATTACAGTTAAATGTTTTCACTACAGTTAATTGTTTTCACTGCAGTTTATTATTCTCATTACAGTTAATTGTTTTTATTGCAGTTAATTGTTTTCAATACAGTTCATTATTTTCATTACAGTTAATTGTTTTTATTCTTTATCATGCAGGATAATAAAAGGCAAGAGTTTGTTCACTATATTTCTATGTAACTCATCCTAATAATAAGCTATCACGGCTCCAGTATGACGCGGTTAAGCATGACAAGCATTTATCACCATTAAATAACACTATAACAATTAACACTAACGCAACAAACGCTCTATCTTCTTCCATTCAATTTCGATTTGTTGTGTTTTCTAAGAATAAACGATGTTTTCTACTGACGCTATTCAATTTATTAACTAACAAATAAACATTTGCACAGATTGACGCTAATGAATATGAATTATTGACATTCAAATCACTCAGGATTGAGAGCGCGACTGAGTGAATGATATTATTTACGGAATTTCATTAATAAATCCAGTTTTATTTCTAAGGCATTAAATTAAGTATAATTTTGGGAAAAATAAGGCCGAAAATTACCCAAAAATAATCCTAAAATCCCGAAAATTACCCTAAAAATCCCCAAAATTTCTGGGAAAAGCGTTCATATTCCGTAACATGATTTGACATTCAATGAGCATTAAAAGTATTAATAGTAAGTAGTATTCACTGCTTATCAGTCGCAAAGTCTCAGAAAATAGAGAAAATATTAGGTGCATTTTATATAATAATATGAATAGTACTTTAGGTATTGAAAAAATTCTATCGATATTAAGGGCTTCCGGTGTTATAACGTGATATGTAAATGAAATACTTTTGAGTAATTAAAATAATAATGACTGAAACTTTATGTTAATGAAAAAAATTATAACCAACATATAAAATAAAATGGCAGCAATTATAGGGAATAAAATGGAAAATAAAATGGCGGCTATAATAGGAAATAAATTGGAAAACGAACTGACGGTAATAATAAAAATATATAAAATGGAAAATAAAATGGCGACAATAATTGAAATAATAATGAAAAAAAAGATTGCGGCCAATAATACCAATAATAATGTTAATCATAGAAATAGTGAATGCGTTATATGGCTAACGTACGCTCAACAGGCGTATTCCTTTGTATATACAGCGCCTTTTTTCCATAAATTAGAAAATGCGCTAAAAACCTGCTCCAATTTTTTACACCGAATACAGACGTGCTAACTACCAGCGTATATGTGCAGGCTATCGCTAACCCCAAGCTGTAGAGGGACGGCCGACCATACGGCGCCCAAATCCACCATACGGCGCACAAAAAACTATACGAGGCCGACCATACGGCACCCAAAACCCTACATGAAGCCAACTAAACTGCGCCCAAAACCCTACATATGGCCGACCATACTTCGTCTGGAACAATATAGTTGGCCGACCATACGCCGCCCAAAACCATATAAACGTGGCCATAGCCTTTCATTTTTCGCACAACCCTACATCTGACCGACCATATGGCGCCAAAAACCCTACATCTGGCCGACCATATGGCGCTTAAAACCCTACATCTGGCCGACCATATGGCGCTTAAAACCCTACATCTGGCCGACCATATGGCGCTTAAAACCCCTACATCTGGCCGACCATGTGGCGCCCAAAAACCTCGAAAGTGCCCTATATGGTCAGTCTAACCATCAGTTTTATATATTGTCAATCTAAAGACACATGTACTCCTGCGATGTACATTGCAGTGTAAACACAAAGTTAGCGGCGTACAATTCCGTGTTACTGCCGCGGGTTACAGCGTAGTACAGGCAGTACACTCAGTGTACTGCGTACCGCACCACTGCGCCGTCCCTGTCGATAAATGCGATATGTAAACAATTATGTAATGTGTGTGGAGAATATTTATTTAAAGTGTGGTAGTGTATGTGGAAATAAGTATGAGCTGGAACAATTTTGTGATGAAAATGAAGTGTAGTCTTTGAGCCAATGACCTCGAATTGAAATAAATATGACATAATATCATATAAATATGACATTATTATGACGTGAATATGATATTAATCGGATGCGAATGTGACATCAATATAACATCAATATGACATCAATATAACATCAATATAACATCAATATGACATCAATATGACGTCAATATATCAATATGACATGAATAATTAAGACATCAATATGACATGAACATGACATCTTTGATGTGCATATAAATTCGATTATGACTATTAACCAACTTATGTTTGCACAGGTTGTAAATTGTATGTTCAATTGAAGACCAAAGCGAGATTTTAATTACCAATTTTCTTTTTCGTTTTTCCAAAGAGTCGCTTGGCCAGCGTTGGTGAACAGAGAAGCAGGTTTCCGTACGAAGTTCATATAAATTGTTTAATCGTTTCGGGACTAAATAATTTATTTAACTAATCGGGAATTATTTAATATTTTTGACCTACCGTTAAACATTTATACCAATAAAACTCACCGCCAGGCTGATGGGAAAAACGATCAAGAAATTTCAAATTGAATTTCATTCTACAATCTGCAATCGAACTTGCATTAATCAAAGTATATGATATCTGAAAAACTATACTGAAAAGTATTAATAGGAGCTCAAGCGGTAATAATAATATAATAATAATAACTGTAATATATAATAATAATGTATAATAAAATAAAATTTTGAACGGCTTTGAGTGTAAATTTAAATAATAGTTTATATACATCTCTTCACTCTGAAGAATGGATGTGTCAATGTGTCTAAATAATGATACTCTGTCCATATGTATCTCTGATACGCCCATTTGCCGGGTCACAGTGTGTCAGGATGACCCGAAAAACGACAAACAGTGCCTCGTTATTTGGATTTAATTTACTCATTTATTTATTTGACTGTTCAATTAATAATTAATTTGACTGTTCAATTAAGTTTAATTAAATAATTAGTTCTTTGCTTCACTTGACACCGGTCGTGTTGGTGATGAGGATGGTGATGAGGGCGGGCTGGTGAGCAGTGATGGTGATGTTAATGCTCTCGTCTCTCATCACCCTCATCACTGGCATCGCCAACTGTGCTTCCTCAGGTGATGATGCAGGTAATGATGACTGTGGTGATGCATGCGATGATGCAGATGGTGATGTGGTAGAAGATACATCACCGCATCTCGAGGACAGCCTCAGCGCTGCAACTTGAACATCCTAAAAAAATTTGAATATTAATAATAAAATAATAAATAATAAAGAATAAAAAATAAATATTTACTCTCTTTCTGAGGGCAAACATCGATGTCTATTTAATACAATTAAACACTCAGAAAAATGTATTGGTTATATTATCCAAAAACATTTTCTCATCTAGAACAATGATATCTTTATATTTATTTAAGTTGGTGAATAGTTATAACGCTGGCAGAACGATTAAATAAAGCGATGAAACTATCAAAAGAAGTATCATTGCGGAATACAACAGGTAAAGCATCTTAGATAATATTTATATATATTGGTGTTCATGGACGCCGGAGCAAATGACTGTAAATAACAAAGTCAGAATGAATAATTATTGAATATATATTTTTTGAACTTTGGTCTACCTGAGACGAGGCTCTGACATGAACAGATGCAGATGCATCAGCTGCACCAAGGTTCATAGGCACGAGCAACACCGTGCGAGGTGCCAGGTACACTTCAGCTGACACTCCTGCATCTGGCAGCTGATCTGGCCTGATCGTGGGTGCCAGAAGCACGACTCGAGCTGACACGGGTGACATTCCTGCCTCAGTCCCTCGATGCATTGTCCTTTCTTCATTAGGCACCGTATCTTTTATTGTGATTTCTGCCTCTTCATTATATTCATTATTGTTGGGCATTGCAGCTTCTCGTTTTCTTCTAACTTGTGACGATAGATTTCTTTCATGGGTATCTACGATAAAACTTTCATTGTCAGCAACAAACGTTTTACTGATTGCTGGATTTCGATCAGAAGCTTCGAAAGCTTCAGGTTTTCCAAGATTTCCGTCTACGTCTGCATCTGATTTGCCAACGTCACTTGCATTTTTAAATTCAGCTGCTACAATATCTGTAACATTTTGCGTCGTTATAGGAGAAATTGTCCCGTCGTCAGCCAATGAAAAGGTGGAGAACGAAGACGCGTAGTTTTCTATTGAGAACTTTTCTAATGAGGCTTTTTTTAAGGCAGACTCGTGAGATCCGAGGGTTGCAGACGCGGGGCATTCCGGGGTGACTGAACTGTTGCGTAGAATCTTGCTATAGTAAAAGAAAAGATGAAAAGTAAAGAAGAAACGTAAAAAAGGGTAGAAAAGATAAAAATTCACTGTAAATTTAAAATGATGTTTCATTAACTGGCAATGTGACAGCAAATGATGGGTATTTGTAAATTTCTTATCATAACCTGGTGACAATTATCAGCCAAGTATTTTTTAATAATAAATATATACAATCATCCCCACATGTGATATATAACAATTAATTTAACCAATATTGTGTTATAATCTGTTTTCTTTATTTATGAAAGCAAACTAAAATGCACTCACGCGGCAGCCTGAATTACGGTATCAATCTCCGCCAAGTTCAGAACTGCTTTCTGTCGGAGGGTGGCCAGGAATTACATCAGACAAATGAATGGGTCACATTGTCCAAATAGTGACAAGCTATCATACCCACTGCAGCGTAAAGTGTAACGATATTTGGACAATGTCTCACTTATTTTCTGAAGGCGTGGTAATTCTTCCGGGTCAATCAGCGGAACGGTGCAAAGCTAATAAAATTCTGCATATTAATGCTAATATATTCGAATATAAACATATTCTATATTTATTCACTAGTTCTCATAAGTAGTATTAATTATAGAAAAATATTGATGAAAGCGATCTAATCATTAATTGATCAAACAAGGACCGATGTTGGAGAGATACATCTTTCAATGTCGTTCCTTGTCATATACATTCACATAATCAAATTTACTTGCTTATGATTTATAAAAAACTGATGGAAAATAAAATCTCATATTCATATAAATAATATTACAATATATATTGCCAATAATATTTCTAGCATATACTCTATATAAAAATTTATTTAACATCATATCATACCTGCGGCTGCACACAAGAAGGCGTAGTGTCATCGAGGGAAGACTCGTCCAATTCTTGGTGGCTCGCTCTTCTTTTCTTCACAGCTCCGCTCTTCATGCCCTCTTCTCTTCTCACCAGATCCTCTTCTCTCTTCCTCACCTCCTTCTCCCGCCTCTTCACCTCCATTTCTCTCTTCAGTATCGCCACTTCTCTCTTCACTCTCTCTTCCTCAGCTCGCCGCTCTTCAGAGCTCCTGCTCTGGTCGCCCCCAGCCTGCGCGCTGCCCTGCGGGAAACGGTTTATTGTTGAGGTTATTGTTGAATTATTAATTTATTAGTAAATGCCGTTATGTTGAATTATATTGTTGAATATAGTTTTTTTAATTTATTGTTGAATTCAGAATTTATTGTTGAATTTATCGTTGAATTCTGAATTTATTAGTAAATGCCGTCATGTTGAATTATATTGTTGAATATATTTTTTTTAATTTATTGTTGAATTCAAAATTCATTGTTGAATTTATCGTTGAATTGTGAATTCATTGTTAAATGTCGTTGTGTTGAACTCTATTGTTAAATGTCGTAGTGTTGAATTCTATTGTTGAATGTCGTTGTGATGAATTCTATTGTTGAATGTCGTTGTGTTGAATTCTATTGTTGAATGTCGTTGTATTGAATTCTATTGTTGAATGTCGTTGTGATGAATTCTATTGTTGAATGTCGTTGTGTTGAATTCTATTGTTGAATGTCGTTGTGTTGAATTCTATTGTTGAATGTCGTTGTGTTGAATTCTATTGTTGAATGACGTTGTGTTGAATTCTATTGTTGAATATTGTTTTGTTGAATTCTATTGTTGAATGACTTTTGTTGAATTTTATTTTTGAATATCGTACCGTTTAATATTTTTTTCGGCAACATTGTATCGTTGAATACTGTATTATCTATTATTGCTGCGTTGAATAATGTATTTTTGATTATTGAACGCTTGAAAATTGTATTGTTGAATGTTATAAATTCAAGGACATTTCACCATCATTATACGTCAGCCAGCTGTTATTATGCCCATTTGCCCTTAAAAAATATAACACCATAATATGGCAATAAAAAGAAATATAAGCCTAATAGTTGGTTATATAGCAAGCATGACTAATGTAGTAATATAAATAAGGAATAATCAGTGTTATAATTATCATTATAATGTAATGCGTCAAAATCGATTCTTACAGGAGTTGTGGTTGGAGAATGCGATTTATTAGCGCTGTTCACTGAACTTTGGTATAAATATACAATGACATTTGTCATGCTATCAGGACGCAATAAGAGCAGTTCCATCTTCAATATACAATAGTATTATTTTTAGTCTCGGTATTGAATATTTCTACTTAATATTTAAAAATATAATATCGCTATCTCTATCAGTTTAGTTTAGTATTAGCTATCCAAAATAACATTAGTTTCAATATAAATACTTATAGTCCTATAGCGTTCAACATGTAAGTACTTATATTGACTTATATAGTCAATCGAGTACTTGTAGTATGGTATAAGTACCTACAGTTTAAATTTAATCGAAAATTTAATATGGCATAGAAAAGTGGGTAGGTGGTGGAGGTGCCCGGGCTATTTTCATGCCCTGTTCACGCTGCAAGCTTGGCGCGGTGCCCTGTTTGTAGCGCCCCATGCCTTCCCCCAGTGGGGGAGGTGGGGGGAGTGGGTGTCTTGGGGGAAATTCTGTTATATGTACAGTGATGCCCACGCATGTCTGGGTGGTGGGTGCAACGTCATTTAAACGTAACAATTAACGTCTGGTTCTAGCATGTACTAGAAAATAGGTCTATATAAATCTTCTAGAAAAAAGACTTTTTTTCGAAAACCTCTAGAAGAAACCTCAAGAAGGCACCTCATAAAACAAGGATTATCTTACTTAAAACTTATGTAACGTCATCTATAAGTAACAATTAAAGTCGGATTCCAGCATTTAATTGAATAGACGTCTTAAAAACAAATTTAATCCCCATATATTAAAATAAATTAAGAGCGGCTACAACGAATTTTCAACAATTGCGTCATGCTTCACGTCAGTTTCACGTTGCGTCGCAGTTTTTCGTGTCCCAAAAATCCCACGTCTTTCTTTTTTCCCTAAATTGCGTCATCGCATTAAAGCTGCGATAATGCACGGAAATTCCACCGAGTTTTGAATTTTCTTTTCCCTCACAGCAACACCGCAGTCGCTGCCAAGAAATTCTTTGCTTTATTTAATTTTTAAATGCCAATTCAAGTCAATTGTGGCGCAACCGTGGGCACATGCAGATACCAATGTATATATTATATATATTTTAATGTACACTCAGAGACTGCAAATATGACGTCTATGTGTTCTATGAGTAAGAGGCTGTAAATATGACGTCTTTGTGTTCTAAGAGTAAGGGACTGAGATATTGTGAGCGCTGGCTGCTCTTGTTGTGAGGGATATTGTGAGGGCTGGCTGGTCTTGTTGCAGGGATATTGTGAGGGCTGGCTGGTCTTGTTGTGAGAGATATTGTGAGGGCTAGCTGGTCTTGTTGCTGGGGATAATGTGGACATTGATTTTTTGCAAATCCAATGCTTTTGGTTACAGTTATCGTTATTTGGTTATGTTGGTTACCAAGTTATGACTAAAAATATAAGAAATATTCCTTAATGTACAAACTGAAGCTGAATCTAAAACTCAACAATGTGAACCAAATCAACATTTTGCTTCATACATTCAATCGACTAAATTTAATGGTAAATATCAAAATGCTAATACAAAATACTGCCGCAGCAGCGCAGCGGCGAGCAATGCATATATCATACTGAGGGTAAAAGTACCTCATTCGAGGGGGTAGACGTACCTCTTTCGGTGGTGTCATGTACCTTTTTCGGGGAGACACACCATTTCTTGGAAGTTCACGTACCTCACTCAAGTACTTAAGATAACTCATTCTGGCACTGCAAGTACCTCTTACTGGTACGTCATGTACTTTTTTATGCAGGCTCACGTACCTCTTTCTGGTGGTCGAGCTTGAGCTGGTCAACGCACTTTCCCAGGTGCTTGAGCTGCCCCTCCAGTTGCTGACGCTGCAGTTTCTCCACAGCGATATCCTTTGCCAAGACTTTGAGCTCTTCTTCTAGCTGCTTCTTCTCTTTGTCGAGGTCTAGTATCCGCTCCTCTGCCGCCTCCTTCTCTTCTTTGATGCTCTTCAGCTGAGCCTCCAGCTTCCTGTTTTCTTTGGTGAGGAACTCTATTTTTCTCGGCAGGAAGTTGATAAGAGTTCGGCTCAAATGGTCACAGCTTTCATCCAAATCACCACTTGCAGCATCACTGGAATCAGTAATGATGGATGCTTCATTAGTTTCTGTGGCCCCTGCTAAATGTTGCGATGTCCCTTCTCCTAGAGAATCCAAGTTCTCATTCGCGCCACGTCGGTCCTCGGTGTGAGGTTCACCTGCTTCAGCTTCACTGACATACGCTGTGTCATATTCTTCAGACACGGGGCTGGATAAAACTGATTCCATGAGGGCTGTACGGTCGGCATCAGTGTAATACTCACCCTCTTCCTCACCATCATCATCGCCATCTTCGGCATTAACTTCTTCGCCTTGATCGTCCTCATCCGTACCCTCATCACCAGTTTCCATGACAAAGTCATCCAGTTCTTCCTCTTCGTCTGAGGATCCGAACTGCCGGTGTAAAGTGGACAGTCTGGAAGCAAGGAACAGACTTCTGGAAGTCGAAGCCAATAGTTTCTGGTATAGCAATGAACAGTGCTCCTCCAGCTGTTCCAGTCTATTGTGTCTAATATCTTCACCTCTGATGACCTCTAAAACCGTCTGTGTCATTTCAGCTTCCTCACCGATAATACCGTACTCCAGTCCCATCTCCAGCAGGAGGTCTACTGGAGGATCAAAAGTTTTAGTGTCCTCTGGATGGAGACACACGGCTTCGTCAGGCTCTTCTGGCTGCTTGGGTTCTTGCATGGAGACACTTTCCGACGATTCTTTACGTCTTTCACGCAGCATTTCCCGAATACTTGCGTATTCTTCTTCACTCTCCTGATTTTTCTGCCTGATCAGCTGCCACTGGGCACGGGAAGATTCCAGTTCTCGTCTCAGCTTCGTGAGAATATTTCGTTTTTGTTTGAGCTCATAACGCATTATGAGTTCGTCGTCATGAAGTTTTGCGTGTTGTTCTTTCAGGTCGGAGACAACAAGCCATGTTTGGTGGAGTGCGTCGGTCACACTCATCAATCTTGTTTCCTGCTGCACCACACGCTTCTGCAGCTCAACGTTCAGAGTATTTAACCTTTCGATTTCTGTCACTAAAGCTTTCTTTTCGTAAATCAAATCTCTCAGTTTTATGTACGTCTTACTGACACTCTTGCTCATCTCTTTATATTCGGCTGACGTTGGTAGAGGAACAGCAGCGTCATCTTCGGCTTCTTCTGGCCTCTGCTGCTGTTTAATTACATTTTGTTGTTCGGATTTCTCGAGTTGTTGGAAGAGAACCGCCAAGTTATTCAGTTGCAGCGACATCTGCTGGTTATCATTCAGGTACGTTTCGAGTTGATCTTTTAACCCGTGAATGACATCATCCTTATCGTCAATTATTTTCTCGCATTCCCGTAGACGTCTTTTAAGATCATGACATTGGCTGTCAGATACCTCAAGTTGGGCGGACTTATGGGCGATCATCCTAAGCATCTTGACGAAATCTTTGGACTTGGGCGTAGTTTCCCCTTTTCTGTCATTTTTAGCCGAACCTTCACCTTCTTTTTCCTCTACATCATCAGTTCCTATTTTAGTGGTTTGATCGAGTAACCCAACAGGTGTTACATCTACATCTGTTTCCGACTCACTGAGCTGGGTCTTCCTCTGGAACCAATTAGCGCTCACTTTATGGATGTTCGCTCTCAGAACTGCACACTGCTTCTCCTCATCAGCCAACCTCTTCTCCAAGCACCTGCAGTTAGGACATTCCATCCGGGTTTCTGCACCATGATTTGAAACAGACGACTCATCTAGGTTGACAACTCTAATGTTAGTTTCCACGTTGTTTTCGCTGGAGGTAACATCTTCACATTTTGTTGAGAGACCCACACTAAAATTTGAAAGAGATCTTTCGATTTCCTCCCCAGATCCTTCATTACTTTTGAAGTCTTTTTCTGTGTCATGGTTGCTACCACCACCACCGTGGTCCATCACTGTTGCTTGCGTGACACTACCATTAACATGACCATCTGAACTAACTCCAACCGCATTCAGCTCCACTCGGGCGCTGCCTCTGATGTTGTTGACTCCCTCATCACCCAAAGGTTCATCAACATCACTCATCACACGTTCTTGCACCACAGAAGCCACCTCATCGACACTGCTTGTGTGGTGAACGCTGGTTGTGTTCGACTCCATGTCTGCTTCTTCATTCCCTGATGACTTACCAGTACCAAGAGGATCATTCACGGGCATTTTCAGATATTATATTTTTTAATCTATTTAGTTGTGAATTATCAATTTTCATTCTAATATTATATTTTCATATCACTCGCGTCAACGTGGAATATATTTTCAGTTCTCGTGTCAATATAACATGTCTCTACGTAAATCACTTGATTATGTGATCTTAATGAATCTATATTGATAACCTAGTTAAAAACTAATCAAGTATTAACATATTAACGTTTTGTCGTCGTGAAAGATGATCTGTATAGAGAAGACGGCGAACTTTATTCACTTTCAACTCGTGAATAGAGTTTTATGGAAAGGATTTCAATTTCGACAAATGAACGGAAAAAATATAATTTCCTGCCTAATATATAAGTTTATTTTAAAAAATCTAATGTGATCACTCCCTATCAAGATAGATTTAAATCAAAAGCTTTTTTGTTACCCCTCGAATATGGACAAAACCCCCTTGAGCTTTTTTTCTGGCAAGCATGTATTTTAGTTTAATAATATCGTAAATGTTCAATCATAATTTTATGATCCCCAGCAAATATTATATAAATGTATTAATTACTCTTAAAATCTTAACTCAATGAATTAAATCATTCTCAATTACAGACGTAAGAACAAGGAATTTTATATGAATAACTGCTTATATTAAACAGAGGAAAATTCTAACTGAATAAGATAATCGCACATGGACAAGAATGTCTAAACGATGGTTTGGGAACACGTGACCTAAGTTCTCGTTAACAACTGTATATTGGATTACTTGTAAAAATAAATGATTAATTTATTACAAAATCCATTTTGTATGACTCTTTAATTCTTAATCCAGCATTGATATTGGAGTCGTTTTTTTGGCTGAATTATCTAATTTATTTGAATTGAAAGTATGTTTTTCATTTCATCTGATTTCTATAAATTATTCTTCAACATCAAATAATAATATTGAGGAAGGAATCGACGGAACTCGTAGCAGGATCGACCAAGCAAGAAACACACCCTCACTGCACTAGCGCCGAGAGCGCACTGAGCGGCAAGGTGAGGGCTGCGAGGGTAAGGCGGTGGACGACAACAGCGTTGCCAACCTTTCGTCGCTCCTTCCGCGAACCCAGGCCTTTTTTTTTGCATATTTTTTCAATTAGAGCACGTGTAGCGACGGCCTCATGTTTATAAACGCATTATGTGAATTACGCAGCATGTTTGCGGTCAACAAATGCGCCACAAAGAAGCATTGTGCGTCTTATTGCCACTGCCAGACGTATCGCTTAGAATTAGGAAAAAATATAGTTTTTTGCACGGGTTTAGAGGGTTCAAAATACACATACCATATTATATGATTTGCTATTATTGCTTTTTATTACTAAACGATTTTTCTGGCCCTGGGAATAAGACGCACAATGCTTATTCACAGTTCTTCATATTTAATTCATTATTCAAATAAATGATTTGATTTTACAAGTTCGTGAAATTGAATAACTTTTTCCCGTTTGATTTTTTCAGTCAATAGGATAAATTTTCCTTAATACCTAGAATGATACCGTCGTAGGAAATACTTAAGTAAAAAAGATAATAACTTAATAATGAAAAATTTAACATACCTAAAAGCATAATATAAAAAAAAACATACATAAAATCCCACCATGTAAATGGAGTTAATACATTGTAAATAAAGTGACAGCGGCTGTCACCCTCGGGACGTCGACCCTCAGAGGGTACGCGCTGGTGCGCACAAAGCCGAGCCTCAGGTGCGTTCTATCAGATTCTTTTATATATGTATTTACCTGTGTATTTATAAATATTATTGATAAAGAAGGTCATCGACCCAAAGACCATTTGTTAAAACTATATTTTTAGCCCATGCCACATGTGTATTGAATAAAGTAAACATTATTGAATCATTATAGTAAAAATATATGGACTGTGGCTCCAAAGCCGCGCTCCTTGCATTTGTGCGTTGACAAGCGAAAGAATATTTGTTTTAATCACACACACTTTGTATTATTGAAATGCATCGGTGAAAAGAAAACATTGCCGCTTTTGAGAAAAAATTTGAACATTGCAGTAATCGCGAGCAAATAATTAGCCTTTCTATCCACTCGTGTAACGGTTGAGCTGCTATAGCTTTACGGTTGAGCTGCTAGTTTTACGGTTGAGCTGCTAGTTTTACGGTTGAGCTGCTAGTTTTACAGTTATGATACTAGTTTTACGGTTAAGCTACTAGTTTTATACGGTTGAGCTGCTAAATTCTCGGCTGAGCTGCCAGTTTTACGGTTGAACTTTTAGTTTTACGGTTAAGCCGAAAGTGTTACGGTTAAGCTACAATTAAGTGTGACAATTTAGACATCCATTTAACTGTCAAGACACGGTTTGAAAGTTTAGCTATTATATTAATCATTTTTAACCATTCGTTTAAGTGATTAAACATTTGTTCAACTCTTCAACCACTATTAACGGTGTTCAGTAATTATTTTTAGTTTTTAACTGTCAATTAAGGTGGCTGTAATGTAAGAAACATCCCAAAACAATGTTGGTTTGTTCTCACGCTTGATCTAAGGAGCACCTCACGCTTGATTTAAGGACCTCACGCTTGATCTAAGGAGGACCTCACGCTTGATCTAAGGACCTCACGCTTGATCTAAGGAGGACCTCACGCTTGATCTAAGGAGGACCTCACGCTTGATCTAAGGAGGACCTCACGCTTGATCTAAGGAGCACCTCATGCTTGATCTAAGGAGGGCCTCACGCTTGATCTAAGGAGGGTCTCACGCTTGATCTAAGGAGGACCTCACGCTTGATCTAAGAGTGATGACCAATGTTTGATTTATGTTTGAGCTGTATAAGCACTTATTTATAACATTACATTCCAAACTTGTTTCCAAACTTGTTTTATTATGTTTTTTCCAATCACGCGCATGGGAATTGTATAGAAAGGTTCAATGGAGACAGAAAGATGACAATTTTATTGAATAACAACAATGAAATGAAGATTGTGACGTCAACAATGAGAACAGTAACAACAACAACTAAAAATAGGTGAGGGAGTTGAATTAACATTACTTTACCCTCACACGTCACCGTTAACACAATTACGGGGGATGATGCATTGCATAGTAACCTACCTTAAATTACGTACACCCTAAGTCCCCTCTGCTCCGTACTTGTGCCCCATCATAGATACTTCTGGGATCCCCTTCCCCTACCTAGAAAGTCACAGCAATATATTACCTAACAATAAATAGTATAATAAATACAAATAAATAGCTTATCAACTTAGGCGTTCAACAAGACTGAACCTTTTACCGTCTACATGATTTACTATCCTCGTTAGTAATTCAATAAAATCACTGAATCGTATACTTGGCCGGTGGAGAGTTCATATTAGAAGAGGTTACGATAAATCTAAAGCTTGATAACAACAAACTACATTCGCTAGTTCAATGTGCTCAGCTTTCATTTTATTTAATCTGTTTTAATATAGTTTACGGTACACAACATTATGTTGTTTTATGTAACTTGATTCAATCGGCAAACGTTAATTTGAGTTTGTGGTAGTAACATGGTAGCAAGAATCAATATAAAAAGCATACAGACTTCCAACACAACCTGCGCTGTTGTATATTACGACAATTTGTTCATCACGCATCGAATGTGTTAAGTTCGATTTGAAGTCTACCTTTTCTACCTTAAAGTCTACTAATCTAGGGTCCCTCATGGGGCTTGTAAGATAAGTAGCTGGATTCTCCCGACATTTCCTTCTTGTTAACTGGTTTTTGAGTTGAAACATAAACCTGGCTGGAACTCTGTGTTCGACCTAATTCATTTGCTGCCGAGTGAGTTTTATGGGGTGTACGATAGATATTTTCTCTTAAGTTTGCATCCGCATTAGTTGACTCTTCGCTAGCAACGTTAATTTTCTCGAAGTGGGTAGAAGTGCTGGACACGTGCAAAAGATTAGTGTTATCACCCGTTCTTATGGGTAGAAGTTTCGACTCGCCGTAAAGTTTTTGCTGGGTGGACTCATGTTTGTTCTGCGAAACTTGTTGAGTTTGTTGAGAAAGATTTTGGTTCTCTTTTGGAAGTGAGGGCTGGTTCAACTCTCGTGTAGGAGTTGTGTACGACGAGATAACTTGTGGTCGGTGAGACTTCTGTTTAGGCGGAAGACTTGGTTGTCTATGGTGTTGATGCTGCTGCTGTGCCGCGGGCTGATATGGCTGCCGTGTCGACATGTGAGGCTGTTGAAAAGAGGATGTTTGGTACTGTTCTCGGGTCGGTGGCCCTTTCAGGGGCGTGAGAGTTGGTTGAATTGGTTGACGAAGAGTTGTGTGATACAGTTGCTGGTGATGAAATTGAGTATTATGACTAGAGGGCCGGTAGTGTTGGTGTGATGGTCGGTAATGCTGCCGCGTAGTGTTATACCGTACTTGCCGAAGAGGAGGCATTTGGTAATGCGACGTTTCATTTTTCATCATTGATGCATCATATGGCCGCATTGTATAGTTACCTTTAGCTTCCTCGTCTTCAACGTCCTCCTCTTCTTCTTCTTCTTCGTAGCCATCTTCCTCGTCGTCATATTCTTCATCAGAGTCAGAACTGTACTTTTCTTCCAACAACTGCTTATGTTTGTTGTAGAACTCAAGGTATAATGCATATAAGGAGTTCTCAAAGTAACCATAATTTGGAATTAAGTCTTCGGCAGATTCTTCTACTGCTGCTTCAGCTTCACCATCCGAGCCAGTAGCATTATAGCTTGAAGTTTGTTCTATATCGCCTGCAGAATTGTAGCTTTCAGGTCTGCCGTACGAGCTATTCATAGTGCCGTACGAGCTCTCTGGTCTCTCATACGAGCTCTCTAGAGTGCTGTATGAGCTCACTGGTCTGCCGTACGAATCATAGTCTGTTTCGTATGAAAAGTAAGATTCGTTAGGTGGCACTCCGTACGTTAAATATTGGTGTCCCCAAGTTGGTCGTAGAATGAGGTCGACAAAACGATCCCACCAACTGTAAGTGAAGTAATCAGTGGCTACCACTCGGCGTACCCGCTTGTGACTCGAGCGGCGACTACCATCACTCACAGCACTTCGTTTCTCTCGTCGATAGTAGACTTGATTGTAGTCTTTAGTTTTGGGATAGCCTCTATCACGATACTCATTGGAGTGTCGGACAACTTCATACGACCCATATTGTTGAGAATCACCCAAGTATTTGTTGAATGAACTTTGTAAGTGGTTCGTCGCATCGTCCAATTCATCTTCATAATCCGCACCACCTTCCCTGCTGTCGGCTGCCTGGAGGGCCGCAAGAGTAGCAGGATCGGGCAAGAGGGTAACAGAAAGGACACCAAAGAGGCTACAGGCCACGCAGTAAGCGAGCATAAACATCATGTACTGCCACGAGCGCAGGATTTTGTTGTCGCTCAGGTAGGAGTTGGTGCCGAGGTAAGGTCTGATTTCCCCGTTGAGGAAATAGTGGCGGAATTGGTCTCCCCACGAAGTGGTGTTCACGTGTCCAATATCATCGTCGTTGTTATCTTTGGTTGCGTTTGTGGTTGGCTGGAAGAAAAAAAAGATGCGTAATCATAGTGATCGGAAAATAAATTACTGGGATTTGAAATTCAGGGTTGCCATAGATTGTAGTAGTTTCATTTTATTTTTATTTCGTCCACTTTTTCTCGGACCGATCACAGCATTGCAATGATTTGAAAGTTAAAGTACTGCCATGCCTAGAAATTTTATCCCAATCCTTGTCCTTATTTAAGCAAGACGGAAATAAAGCCTGAAACGCATCCTTATAAATTCCGTATCCTCTGACGAAGAAATTAGTCAGTAAAATAGGGAAAATAGATTGAAATTTGTTTTCAAAAAAAAAAAGCGTAAAGACGAGGTTACTTTTAGTTTCAGCGCATTCCTCATTCAGTCAACCTTGGTTAAGTCAAGTCGTGTAGAAGGAAATGAACACAATATTACAGCGAGGATACAGTGAAAATTAAGCACTTGCGTAAGAAATTTGAAGAAGAATACGTGCAGTTAATGTCTTTGGCTGAAAGTCTAAAATAAATGACTGAGGCCTGGCAATGTTGTTGGTGGGGAGACGGATGAATTTTGTGTTCTATGCTCCTAACAGCCGTGTTATTTAACTGAATCCTAACGTAAATTTGGGGGAAAATTTGAATTATATGTCGTGCAAATTGGAAATAAGAATGTTACCGAAAGAAGAGTACGTTACAGCAGGAGAAGTTGTCAATCTGTCAACGTATACATAAACTTATTATATTCCAAACCGGGTGCTTTAAAATAAAAGAATCATTTGAATAACTACGTGCAAATAATTAAGTCATATTGAATGTCTAGTTAAATAACTACGTGCTATAAGTTAGGTCAATTGAGCATCTAGATTAAGAAAACACGGGCCAAAATTCAGGCCATATTGAGCTAGTAAGTGCCATAAGTTTGTTCAAATTACGCTACAATGAAAATCACTACATTCATGAATCCCAAAAAATGTAGATTATCCTACAGTGACGTGATTGCCATTGTTCACATAACTACCTTGTGCGATATCTGCTGACGTCGGTGACCAGTTAGTCTCGGTAGCTCCTGTTGATCCATGTCGGGTTGACGGTCAATATTCCGCCAGTTTTGTAGAAAATCCTGCTGTAGACTTCAAGGTTGGATTTTAGGCAGACTTTCACATCAAATTTTCTGCTGACTCACAGGTAGAATTTTCTGCAGACTTCAAGGTAGAATTTTCTGCAGACTTGAATGTAGAATTTTTCACAGATTTCATGGTAGAGTTTTCTGCAGATTTCTGCAGAAACATTTCTAGATTTCTGCAGAAACATTTTCTTCTTGAAATTTTCCCGTAGGTTGCAGATGGGGCTTGGATAAATTCTTCTGCCGTTTTGACAGTTTGATTTAATAAACATTTTTAAAGTTATATGTCTGATTTTATCTATGAGTGATATGTCTACGCTAACGAAACTTAAGCATCAGAATATATAACACTTGGAAAGAGTTGTGGCATTGTGATATTCACTCAGTTGAGTAAAGATTTTCTAGGGCATTTAATGCTCCTTGGCGTATTTTTACCATACTAAAAAAGTTTCGGAATTCAATTCCGAAATAGTTTCGAAATTGAAGCATTCTTGCTATTATGTTTTTTTAATGTATATGTGTTTGCTTCTATGGGCATCTTTTACTGTATTTCGTCGAAAAAAAAAATTGTAATTTTAAATAATGCGAGTTTCCCGATTCCAGCTTGAGGTGTAGTATTATAAGACCAGGTGGGGACGAGCAATGCTGGGGAAGATGGGCATCCTTCAGAAGTATCATGTGGGTTCTCACGAAGAGGAAAAGCAGAGGGGAAACTTGGGCAGGCGTGGGGAGCTCCTCTAGTTGATGAACCGGTTGGCCGCTACGATGTACGAGTGAAGAGTCTTCGCGTAGTGGGTGAGCCTGGGGCTCTGGGGAGAGGACACCATATTAGGAGGAAGATTCCTAAAGTTGCAGATAGGACGCATGTAGGGTGCTCCTGCGAGTGATGGCTGACCATATGATGAGTAATGTTATTATGCAATCTGTTACTATGAGGAATCTCCCAATACGGAGGAACTGCTACCCATTAACAAAACTTTGTGAAAGGAGCAAGCTGACTCAAGTGAAAGATAACCTAACTAGGCAAGCTAACTCTAAAGTGAATCACAACAAAAGAGGCCAACCCTAAAGGAAGTAATTATAACTGGTGAAGCTGGTCTACAAGGAGTCATTCTACGCATAAGATCGAGTCAAAAAGAGATTCATTCTACGTAGGGAAGCTGATAAATAAAGGAGTCATTCCCCACTTGGGAGGCGGTTCTGACTATGCGGGGAGTTGACTACAAAAGGAGTCATTCTACACAGGAATGCTGACCCTACAGTGAGTCATTCGAAGAAGAGAAGCTAGCCAAATGTTAAAGTAAGAAGACCCTACAGAGGACCATCTAAAGGTGGGGAGCAGTAGTTCTTTCATGGTAGTTATAAGATGGTTTAAAGTTAATCGAATGTTTGGTTGTCATATCATGGTAAGAATATAATCTAGCGCCAAGTATCTGATCTAGTAGCATTTGGTTGCCAGCCCAGCCAAACCAGAGCATTTGCGACCACAGCGAAACCATAGTGTTTGCTAGCAAAAAAAAATACCATAGTACTTGCTACCACAAGAATCCCATTGCAACTGATACTATACCCGAAGAACCAACTTACCAGCATGACAAAATACTTCAGGCCTCTCCGTGAAAAAAGCTGAAGAAGTATATTATCAGAGACATAATTAGGTGGTCAACAGCTATCCCAGCAGGTCTAAGCCTGGTACTGGATAAAATTAGTCGAATCATCTACCTGGTACTGAATGCATCTTTCCCAATCATCTGCCTGGTAGCCATTGGATACATCTAATACATCTAGTCCAATCATCTGTAACTTATACTCACGTTTTAGTCAACCTTCCTTTGCTTCACCTGCCCAGTGCCTATTCCATAACTACCAATTAACTATTCTCTTATATTTACATTGTCTATCTCTGAACCATTCACACCAATCACTGTCACCCTTCGCCCCAACCTAATCTAATTAATGATTTGGTAACTCCTTACGGTGCCATCCTCCACTCCAGTTCCCCCAAACCCACTGAACGACGGCATCCATTCCTTCCCCCTTTTCCATCTCTACTATTGCTGGCACCACGCTTCGTGCAAATACTCAAGCTTCCACTCATGTCCCACTCAACAACTATTTTGCGGGCTTGACAAAAGTTGAATGTAGACCCGACCCTGCATCTAGGGTCTAGGGGGAAGCTCGTGAAACAGCCGTTCTACGTATGTTCGCTTTGGCCTGGCTTGTATGCAGCCGTTAAGTACCTTGTAAGCTATTTACGACTAGGCCTCGGTTAGCTCTTTCATACTTCCATGTTACATATAAACTCGTAAAAGAGATTCGAACAAGAAATTTATTTCGAGCGGGCGGTAGCAACTCTTAGGTAGAAGGCTAGGCATTATCCTATTTTTTTGGGTCTCTGCAAGTCTTCTCGTCTCGAGTCCCCTCTCTTCTAAGCTTCACACCGACTCATCTGCCACACACCTGCCTCACTACATCCACCTGTCCCTACTCCACTGACCTGTGCCCACTCACCCACCTGCTACCACTCCATCCACTTATCATACTTCGCCCACCTACCCCCACTCCACCAACCATTTCCACTCTACCTTCCTGCCGACTCCAAACTCCTGCTCACGCTAAACCCCTGCCCACTCCAGACTCCTGCCCACCCCGCCCACCTGCTCGATGAAGTTCACCACGAGATCAGACTCGAAGTCGGTGACGGCATTTCTGGCGGTGCCGGCGGACCCGCGGCGGGTGGAGGGCGCCACGAAGTACTGCATGAGGTTCTCCACCAGCGACCTGATCATGCCCTGCCAGTCCATCTCCGAGATCTCGGACACGTTCTGCATGATGCCGCTGAAGTAACCTCCACCACCTCCCTCCTGCGGGGGGTAATGGGTTAGTGATGCATGATGCCGCTGAAGTAACCTCCTATTGTATGTCCTATTGTACATGTATTGTACAATGTAATTCCTATTGTACATGTATTGTACCATGTATATTCTATTCTACTTATATCGTCCTATGAAAGAACCATACATATACATTCATTATTACAATACATTAAAATAGAGTTATCACTTCATGATAAATCATTAACCTCTCGAATAAATGATAATTTTCCGGGGTCCATCCCAATGTTCAATTATGTTACTTCATATAAATTTATTGAGTTTCTATTGCTATCTAGAATGAGTTGTCCTATCTAGCCGATCTACGGCACTACAGCGATGTCAGCTCGCTCAGCAGCGGTGATCTAGATCCTAGATGCCGTTACATAAGCGAACTTGACGCACGCACAACCGGTATTAGATACTATAACGGTTATCTAAACATCGACAGTGAATTGATTATAAATACAAGTGCCGTTACATAGGCGAACGCACGCACAACCGGTATTAGATATCAACGGTTATCTAAACATCAACAGTGAATTGATTATAAATACAAGTGCAACTTTAAATTTGATACAGCGATGATTGAAATCTCAACGATGATCTAGGCCTCAACGGTGATCCTGACACCTGTTGTGCTGTTCAACGGTCTTGCAGCTGACAGTCCTGCAACGGTACTGCAGCTGACCAACGGTTGAGACAAGCGCTGCCAAAATGTATATATAAATACAATATATATATTGTATAAAGAGATATTGGTTTCATTGAAGACCAGACAGTATTTCTCAGTGACAATTTTCTTATTGTTTTCTCTATTCGGCGCATTAGGCTCTTGATATGAACTGAAAAGTCAAATATCAGGCTTCCAGGGGACATTTTATTATAATTTTACGACGTTTCGAATGCAACTTCATTCATTATCAAGTAGAGGACGAGTTTCGCAACAACTGAATTTGAAATTTTTAAATGACGTTATAGTACATACATAGGTATTATGGATACAGATTGGAATCAAAGCTTAAATTACGAAAACAGTTTTAACGTCCTGACAAATACGGTAGTTTGCAAATTAATAGCTGGAGACTCCTGCTTGATGATGAGAGCCTCAGCTAGACATTAGCAGTCTCCAGCTATTAATTTACAAACTACCGGAGTTGTCAGGACGTTGAAACTGTTCTCGTAATTTAAGCTTTGATCTCAATCTGTATCCATAATACTTATGTTTTTACAAATGTCATTCAAAATTCAAGTGTTGCAAAATTTTCCCCTACTTGATAATGAATGAAGTCGCATTCGAAACGTCGTAAAATTATAATAAAATGTCCCTTGGAAGCCTGATATTTGAGTTTTCAATTCCTAATAGAAGGCAAATGCACCGAATGGTGAAAAACAATAAGAAAATTGTCAATAAGAAGCTCTCTGGTCTTTAATGCTTCAATGAAACCTGCATTGAAGACCAACTTGTGCCTAACTACACCAATATGTATATCAATATAAACGATATATTTAGCTAACCAACTGCACCACAACTCTTCAGCGCCATCACAACAGCTTTGTACTCATCGTGTGGTGATACAATGCTGCAGATCGTAGTTATCACCAGCATTTTTAGTCTATTGACGGCGGCGACTCAAGTTCTGTTTGTGCTGAGTGGTGACTCGTGTATAATCGAGTGTAGCTTCTACTATCTCATGCTTGTCCTTCTGAACCCTCTCCCTGAACCCTCTACCTGAACCCTCCCTCTGAACCCTCCCACTGAACCCTCACTATGAACAATAACTCTGAAGCCTCTCCCTGAATCGTCCTTCTGAACCATCACTCTGTGAACCCTCCCTCTGAACACTACCTCTTAACCCGCCCTCTGAACCCTCCCCTCCCCGTGACCCGGACGCGCGGGGCTGGCGGATGTCTTCACTTTCTACGCGCCAACTTTCCTCCAGTCGCGGCTGGTATCCTATCTACGACCAGGAAATACTCCCCCCCAATTAATCCCGCGTTACTTTTAAATCCGGGTAAGAATAGCATTGTGGATGTGGTGGCGATTGAGTCGGCCCAAGCGGACGAGAGTTGACTTAAAAAGCAGGTAGGAATTCCATTACAGGCATGAGCAAGAGTTTGCCAGAGAAAGAAGAGAAAGGTATGCTACCATAATAGGTAGGAATAACATTACGAATTGCACGTTTAAGCGCTAACACTGGTAGGGCAAGTTTACTAGTAAATTTAGGTAGGAATAATATTACAAATTATAAGAGTAATGTGGTGTTTTTTTCGGGGTAAGTTAAATTTCCAGATCAGGTAGGAATATGTTAAAAATAATTCAATATATTCAATTCAATTCATATTCAATAATTCAACATATGTTAAAAATAATTCAGATGCTTATATAAGAAAAGAGGAAATGTCTTTGGCTGCGGTAATGTCATTCAGGTAAGAATAGCATTACAATACGAGCATAATATATTAGGCGGTGAATTGATAGCTGGTAATGTCCCGTAAGAACTATAATTTACGAAAAATAATTGCCGGTTCTTCATATCGATTTCTCGCTTTCTTTCCATGGGATAATTAGAACGTAATTGTCAGGTGGAAAGTTGAGCGCTTGATAGCACTTTCTCAACTAGGGTATCCAGGATACGGATACTGTCTCGTACTCTAGTGAGTATCCAGGATACGGATACTGGTCTCGTACTCTAGTGAGTATCCAGGATACGGATACTGGTCTCGTACTCTAGTGAGTATCCAGGATACGGATACTGGTCTCGTACTCTAATGAGTATCCAGGATACGGCTACTAGCTGTCTCGAACTTTAGTGAGTATCCAGGATACGGATACTGGTCTCGTACCCTAATGAGTATCTTTCTAATCTATTATACATTCAGGAGAAAGTTTAACTGTGTGTTAGTTTATATATTTATTTGTGTGCGTGTGTTCGTGTGCTGTGCGTCTGGCGCAGTAATACAGTATACAGGGGCTGTTGGGTGTGTATACAGGATAGATATAGCGTCTCTGGATATTACCTGGATATTGTATTTGGAAACGAATTAATTTTTTCATGTTATAATAAAACTTATTGTTATAATTTATCATTATTCCTTATTATAATTTTTTGTGATATAATTTTTTATATTTTGCTCCACAAATGTAAGATTTAAGTTTTATTCAAACTTGTGAACGAAATTTCACTTAGAATTGCGTGCTTAGGTGGATTTAAACGGAACTTTTGCTTATTTATATTACTTTAGTTAAAAAATTAGCTATCGTTACTGATATCTAGAAATTAACCGTGCACTCCGTATCATGGCTACATTAACCGTGCACTCCGTATCATCGCGTGTGTCCACTGAGAAAAATGGTCAGAATTTTGTCCGAATTGCGATGCACTTCTCGCCCTGTCGGGTCACCCTGATCCAGTCAAAGCATAGGGGCGTATCAGTGCTACGTGCAGAAAATGTGTCACTATTTTGGACAACAATTTGACCCTCTAATTTTCCTGAGAGCGCATTCGTGTTCAACAATACGCAGCCTGAGACCAATTCCCCACCCCCTTCACGCATTCGTGAGGGGGGTGGGGGGGGTTCAGTTTCGTGGACTAACGGCAGTTTCGTCGACTCATCCTCCTCCGTTCACACGCACAGCTGGCGAAAGCCACGAATGAACGTGCGTGATCAATCAGGGCCGATGCCTGCGCGATATCTGGATTAGTGATTCATTTATCAGGCGGCCCCTCATTCACGAAGAGATCCCTCATTCACGACGAGATCCCTCATTCACGAAGAGGTCCCTCATTCACGACGAGATCCCTCATTCACGAAGAGGTCCCTCATTCACGAAGAGATCCCTCATTCACGAAGAGGTCCCTCATTCACGAAGAGATCTCTCATTCACGAAGAGATCCCTCATTCACGAAGAGATCCCTCATTCACGAAGAGGTCCCTCATTCACGAAGAGGTCCCTCATTCACCCACAGATCTTTCTTCAATCTTCACGTCTACCTTCAATTATTATAGGCACGTATGCTGTGCGGGTGAAAGTTCAATTATTATCTTCGTGGTAAGATTTTTTTCATTAAAAATCCGTGCAAATTTCTAACCTATTTTATGTGGGGCTCGCAAAAGTTGCCGGTCATCGTGCGAACTTTCCTAACCTTTGTCAAGTTCGGCCAATAGAAAGTTCAGTTACAAGAAGCCAATCACTGCATAACGGCTCCAAAAATTAGCTCCAGGAACGAATAATGGATGTTGAAACTTTCGAAGTTTCGAAATTTTGTAGTGTGAATTTTTTTAAGGAATGAAAAGTGTTTTGAACCATCAATGAAAATTGGTGTGGTGGATTTCGAATGATGTTAGGAAATATTTGTTACTATGATATATCTGTTGAATTGTAACTTTAAACGTATCTTGAACCTAACCATAATAACACTATAAATTATTTTGCTATATGGCTATGAATTCTCATGTTAATATCCTGCACAACCTCGGAAATTGAGATTTAGATTTACAGTGAAAGTCTGCGAATAAAAATGTTCTACTACATGTAAAATATCAATTAAACATTTTCACTGAATTTACCCACAAAGGGAAAACATAAATGTTACAATTATGAAAAAAGCTTGCAGCTTAAATCAGCTTTACCCAGGATTAATAACCATCAAAACTTGAGATAAGTTAACCCGAAAACCGTTATTTCCAATTCAGTTTTTCCGATTTCGTATTGTAGCTATATATATAGCTTCGTAGTTACAGTAATAAAAGTTACTGCTAGTGACGTTAGTGTTGCAAGTGACGCTAGTGTTGCTAGTGACGCTAGTGTTGCTAGTGTCGCTAGTGACGCTAGTGTTGCTAGTGTTGCTCGTGACGCTAGTGACGCTAGCGTTGCTAGTGACGCTAGTGACGCTAGTGTTGCTAGTGACGCTAGTGTTGCTAGTGACGCTAGTGATGCTAGTGACTCACGGAGATCTCGTTGTTGAACTGCGCGGTGACGTTTGTTGCCACCAACACCAGCACCAGCAGGGAGAAGATGTTGCGGTTTGCCATTTTGATCTGAAGACAAAATAAAACTTAGCGTTATTATTGATTATTATCAATGTCGTTATATCATGTCATCATAATTAGAAGTTGATTGATCCTATAGATAATTAATATTTAAATAATAATCTAATTACAAATTGATGAATTATTAATTAATCAATACGGTATAAATTAATCAGTAAATTAATTATTCATTATTAATTGATTTAAAGATTAATTACAATAAAAAACGTTGGAATTATACAAATTGTTTTTTACTAGAATTAATAAATGACATTGATTATTGATATGATATTGAATGATTAAGATGTTTTTTACATTGCTTGATATGCTATAATAATAATAATAATAATAATAATAATAATAATAATAATAATATAATATAATAATATATAACATTGATTGATATGCTTTAGCGTGTAAGTTGGCGCGTTGATGAGTACATTAATTTCTCCTTCTACAGCCCAATAATAAACTATTTGCTCTCATCAAGCTTGATTTAATTACATTTAATTAACAATTCTGTAAATACGCAGGATATTCGCGTACATTTAACGCGCCGTTATGCGCACAGCTGCTCGAGCGTCGCGCACGACGCGCGGACGAACAAATACGCGCGGCCTACAGCAGCCTGACCTGGACTTGGGCTAACGGTGCTGCTGCTGCTGCTGCACTAGCAGCACTAGCAGCAGCAATAGCAGCAGCACTAGCAGCAGCACTAGCAGCACTAGCAGCAGCACTAGCAGCAGCACTAGCAGCACTAGCAGCAGCACCAGTAGCATCAGCAGCACTAGCAGCAGCAGCACTAGCAGCAGCACTAGCAGCATATTTTCTCCAGCACGTAGCACCACCGGTTCCCCATCAATGTTTTGTCAGAGTTTCTCTTGTGACGTAAAATGCAGGGCATTTTTTTCGAGTCCAGACGCCAAATTTTTTTTGTGCCACTGACGCCAATCTACTGCTGCACCAGTTTCCTCTAACGCTTCTTTATTATTATCATTATTTATTATTATTATTATTATTATCATTATTATTATTATTATTACTTCCTATCATTCTCGTCACTTCTTCTGAATGGAGAATTCTCTTTTTTTAATATACTTAATTAGATTAGATATTAGATTAGTCAAAAATAATTGCAACGAAGCCGTACTGGCAATATTGTAATAGTCTATGCGTAAAAGTTATACTCTACATACTCGAGTGTAGGTTATAAATGTACAGTTATAGGTTATAATTAAACTATTATAGGATATGCCTGAAAATCTTTGCACTTTTTGCTGCTCTTCCCTAATATTGATGCTTCTAATCTGCACAATTAAACAGAATAATTGCTTTATCGACATTATCATTAACTATCATTCTTAATGCACGTAATTTGTCTTTATAATATAGACATATAGGTAATGGTATTATATAGGCAACGTCGAGCTTTCTCAGCATTTCCATGTATTTTCCAGGATTTTGTCCTTTTTGAGCACTTCTTTTATCTTATAAGCATTCCTCATCATTCATCTGAATTTGTCAGCATTTTCATCATTCCCTCAGCATTTATGAACTGTTGAGTAACGATAGGACTCATTGTTCAACTAAGTTATGCTGTTTAAAGCAACAATATTCATATTAATCAACATCAACAAGATCTCCCTGATTATAACCCAGGCTTCGAAGATTATTCATAAATTAAACTGAATTTATAATTTATTTTCCTGGGTGATTTTGATCCTCTGGGGAAATTTTTCATGTTTTTGGTCTACTTGCCACGATGGACATCTTATTTTTATGTGAATAAGTTCTTGACATTATGGGTTTTTATGGATTCTTTTTATTAACAACCATTCGTTGTTCATTTATTTTTATTTGAATGATGTGTTGAAATTTAGATTCATCATCAATTTTATTTGTCCATTTTTAACTGACGAGGAGTAAAAATAGCAGAATTTTTCCTTTTACCGAGCAATTTTTATTCAATCATTATTGTCTTTTCTCTATTTCCACCTATTTCAGTGAATCTTTGTTATAATAAGCGATTTATTTTTTACTAATAATTTATTATTTGAATAAGTGCTGGAATTTCATATGTTTTAAAGCTTAAAATTCCATGTAAAAATGACAATTTTAGTTACAATATCAATTTTAATTGGAATTGTTAATTTTCAAACATGGTTCTAAACATTAATTTTTACTTTCAAGATAATTAACAGGAAAATGTTTTATGTTTTTAATTTTACTGACGCGAAATTAATTGGTGAAAACATCTTTTGAATTTTATCTGTCCAATTTTGCAACTGTAATTTGATAAAAAATATATATACTTTTAGTACTTGAAAAAGTGCTTCCGATGTGTAACTATTAAGTGCATCTCAAGAAGCGACTATATATATTTTTACATATAAGCTTTGTACAAAGTATATATTACTTATTACAACCCGAAGAGACAACCGTACCTGTTGTATAACGCAAGGCGACAGCGACGCAGGTCTTCACTCAACGACGGACGGGGTCCAACTGAACGCGGTTGCCGGTTGCCGCGGGTTAAGAAAGTGTCGACTTTCTAACCCCGGGGTCCGGGGGTGAGGGAGGGGGCAGGTGGGGGACATCTAACCTCAATCCGGAGATCCGTGGTCCAGCTTTAAGTGACTGGGGGTTGAGTGACGCAACCCCCAACCCCATCATCTCCTCCCCGTAATCCCCCCGCACTGGGGTTGAGGATATGAATGACTCCGGTTGAGAATTTCCTTTATAAATTCCAAGATATTACCAAGAAAAAATTCGCGGATATGGATATTGCGTTAGAAATTCCGAAATATTATATAAACTTCCCGGATATGGATTTTGTGTTAAAAATTGCAAGCTATTAAAAAAATTAACGAAATGGAAATTGTGTTAGAAAATCCAGGATATAAAAAATTTGCTGAGATGGATATTGTGTTAGAAATTCCAAGATATTTAAAAAAATGCGAATATGGACATTGTGTTAGAAATTCCATGATATTTTAAAAACTACGGATATGGATATTATTTTAAGAATTGCAGGATATTAAAAAAAATTGCGGATATGGACACTGTGTTAGAAATTCAAAGATATTTAAATTATTTGCTGGCATGGATATTTTGTTAGAAATTTCAAGATATTTAAAGAAACTCACGGACACGGACATTGTTTTAGGAAATCGAAGATATTTAAAAAAATGTGCCTTTTAGAAAAAAATTGTATCCACGTTTATAAAAAAATTGCGGATACGGATATTGTATTAGAATATTAATTATAAGTTTTAATAAACTGTTAGGCCCAGTTAACAGCAAACAGGTAATTAGCACAAATACAATGTTTACCTCTGTTCGCAGCGCGTTAACAGCAAACAGGAGCTCGAGGAGACCCCGGCTCTTGCTTTCTGTTTGAGCTTCCCAAGCGGGGAATGAAAGCTAAGCTGTGAGTCATGCCTTTCCGGTGCTGCTTTTTCTCCATGCCACAGCACATGCCACAGCACTGCATGCCACAGCACTGCATGCCACAGCACTGCATGCCACAGCACTGCATGCAACAGCACTGCATGCCACAGCACTGCATGCCACTGCACTGCATGCCACAGCACTGCATGCCACAGCATGCCACAGCACTGCATGTCACAGCACTGCATGCCACAGCACTGCATGCCACAGCACTGCATGCCACAGCACTGCATGCCACAGCACTGCATGCCACAGCACTGCATGCCACAGCACTGCATGCAACAGCACTGCATGCTCAGCACTGCATGCCACAGCACTGCATGCCACAGCACTGCATGCCGCAGCACTGCATGTCACAGCACTGCATGCCACAGCACATGCCACAGCACTGCATGCCACAGCACTGCATCTGCATTTCACAGCACTGCATGCAACAGCACTGCATTTCACAGCACTGCATGCAACAGCACTGCATGCCACAGCACTGCATGCCTTAAACAAATCCTAATGGAAGCATCATACGGAATTCTCATATAAATTTTATCGTCGTTATACTTATTCATCGTATACTTTACCCCATTACCAGTGAATGCCCTTGCGAATCACAATTCACTAGGTCAGTTTTTTTTCTTTACCGAATAACGATTTTCAAGAATTATTCATAGGCCAAAACGATGATAAGGCTTGCTTGCTCGCTGCTATTATCCATTGAAAAAATAAGAAATTAATAGCAAAACAGGGTAATTTACTAATAAACATTGCTACTATTACTAATTAACAGAATCACCGAAATATTAGTGTCATGTCAAAATTGCCGAGTAAATTTTTAGTCTCTGCTCAAATATTTCGTTCCTTGCGCAAAAAAGAAAACGAATTTGTTCCAGGGCTAACTTCATTATAGGCGCAGTCCGGATACACTTTAATAGTTTGGTAAATTTTTTAAAGCCTTCATTTGTAAGTAATGACTTAACACCAATAACTAGTGATAAATATGAATGTCAAAGATGCAAAAGATGAATTGTTGAAATTTTAGGGAGTTGTCGATGAATATTTATCAACCATTCGTGTTGTCCATCCCCAAATTAAGGCAAATTAAATACATATATCATATCATATCATAACACCCCGTATCATATCATATAATTTTATAGCATATCAAATCATACAATTTTATATCATATAGTGATGTCGGCGCCGAGGAATTGGCCGGATGTGGCCTGTCGCCGATTCTTGTACTTTTCGTGACTTGTCTACTTAAGAGATCTAACAACAGGTCCTTCGACCAGATCATTTACAAACTGACGATAGTTTGAAATAGCTACTAGACTTCCACCGAGTTCGATATGGTGCTAGGCATTTCAAGTCTGAACATATATTTATCCATTGCTTAGTCTAGTCTGTTCTTGAACTCGTTCATACTAGGAGCGCCAACGATGAAATCAGGGAGGCTGTTCCACATGTCGGTGACTCGAAGCGAGAAGAAATGTTGTCGCGTGGATGAGTTGCAACGCTGTGTTTTTAGTTTATAGCCGTGGCCCCTGGTGTTGGTTCTTGTTTCATCTGTACACGAGTGTACACGAAACCTTCAATGATGTCCCCATACAGACTTGGATTACACACACCTGGAACCGTAACAACCTTCTTCTCAATCATACTAGCAGCCGGTAATGCACTATTAACCTAATAGTTTTTTTTTACTATTGTGGTCATTTTTCCAAGTTGCTAGACTCAATCGAATTTCTGTCAGCAACTACTGAAAATACAACTATATATTCCGGAGAATACATCTTTTCGGTGGGTAACATAACAAGTCATATCAATGGGCGAAGCGCCGTTGGCAAGCCAGTCTTTGAGATGGCAGACGACCTGTTAGTTCATTGCTAATCGCGGTAATCCGCTTATCAAGCTTAAATTTAATATTTAATTTGGGTTTTACTTGGCTAATAAAATCGGTTTCTATTAGCAAATGTTTATGAATGTTTAATGTGCTTTTAACTAACACTGCTAACATTCGTATAACAATTTTCTTACGTTACTTCCACCATCAAATGACACGATTTTAGATCTTCTGTGAACAAGGCACGAAAAGGAAACGAATCGGCGACAGGCCACATCAGGCCTACACTCCAGCGCCGAGATCACTATGATATGTCATGTTATCATTTCCATTCATTGACATGTTTCTAAGTCCGATTCTGAACGGTGAGAAATTGGAGCCAGAAACGGTCTAATGAAGAATGCAGTAGTCTACGTTCAAGTATTCTTTTTGACGTAGATCTTGATGATGTGAAATCAGGCATGAATCCTGCTAATCAATTTTAACTAAAGAGAAAGATTTGTTAAATTTCCATTAGAACTTTTTGAAAATTATAACTACTGTATGATATTTTAGCGCATTTTCTCATCTGTGGAAAAAATGCGCTATTGTGCTCGCCATGTCCGTCCGTCCGTGACTTCATGTGACAGAGAAAATGCGCTCTCTGTCACCCACTGCAGTTAGTACTGATCTATTTTTTCAATGTGTGATTTGATGTCGATTTCCCCATGTATGGATAGCATCAGATCAATTCGGCTACGATATAAAAGTGTATCGCATTACTGTGCCAATTTTACCCATACATTTCGCCCATATCATTGTGAATATTGCCTCCTTTTAATTTCTTTCATTATCCACTTGGTACGAAAGAATCGGTCTAGTCCAACTTTTTACATTGCAGGTGCATTCGTGTCTACTGATAACTTCTTAGTTACTCATCGAAATGAGTGATTTAGGGAATCTTTCATGAATTGTTCAGTATTTTTTAGTATCTGTCAAAATCCCTTCCTAAATTTGGTCTGAAGACTGTCCGATCTTTTTTATATTTTTGAACGCCGTCTAAGAGGTTGCAACTGATTGCATCTCGAGGCGGCGTATCTATGAGAAAATAGATGAAATATCAATTCTGCAGGTCATAGTGTGATAACCGAAATTTTAATTCACTTTCATGGGAAAACTGCCCAAATTAAAAAAAAACAGTAATACTGGTGATTGGCTATGTTTCCGATTATTTATTTTCATGAAATTAAATTCTCGACTAACTATATAAATGCTCCGTTATTTTGGAACAGAAATAAGTCCCATAAGATGACCTAACAATTTTGCCATCCATAGTGCTGAAAATTTCCCTCGATATGATGTAGTATTTGAATAATTTTCTGAAAAACCTAATTTTGGATTTATTTATAGTGAATTCCTACCTTGAAATCTTTAAATGAATTCGAGATCTAATTCATCGAACACATATGACCCGCACATGTTGCCTGAACAATCGCTTTGCTATTTATTTCAATTAAATTATCCAATACCTATGCGTATTATTTGAGAGCAGTAATCAATGAGCTATAGGCACTTCAAATGCCGCGAATATGTTTGGCGCTATAAAGTGAGCTATCCCATCACAGTTAACATAAGGAATAATTACTCAAAAAAGCATTAACTACTCAAACTCATGAGTTTTGATAACGAATTACCGTAAAATCTAAATCACCTGGCACGAATGCACCTGCAGTGTAAAAGGTTGGGCTTGACCAATTCGTTCGTACAAATTTAATCGTTGTTATATTTGTTCATTGCATTCTTTACCCCATGACCACTGAATGCCAAGCGAATTATATTGAGTTTTTCTCTATTAAATAACGATGCTCAAGAATTCTTCATAGGCTAACATGACGAATAGGATTGATTTCTCGCTGCTATTATTCATTGAACAAAATAGCGAATTAATAATAGAGCAGGGCTAATTACTAATATAAACATTAATACTACTATAGTACTGTACTATTACTAACTATTAGAAATATCGAGTTACTGGTGTCAGGTCAAAAATTGACGAGCAAATTTTTAATCTCGGTTCATATGTTTCGCTCCTTGCGGTAAAAGAAGAATTCGTTACAGGGCTAACTTGATTAGAAATGCAGTCTTGATACTCTATAATGGTTTGACGAATTTTTTAAATCTTTCATTTGTAAATCATGACTTAAGACCAATAACTAGTGATAAAGATGAATGTTAAAGATGCAA